AATGAAAACGTGATAAGTATAATATAAATTATGCTGCTCATGCTACAGGGACTGATCCACTTAAAAAACATGTAGTGCTGTATTTCAAGTAAGTGACAAGAACAACACAAACTTGATATTTTGTTGTAGCTATTAAAATGAAATTAATTAGCAATAAGATAAAGAACGCTAAGATAGTTGCGTAATTTTGTTATTATTCTCTCTTCCTCTTTCGTATACAATTGACATTTAATCTTACTGCCACGATATAGCGTGTTAATTTAAACAAATGTGTTAATCGGGCGTTTTTTATGTACTTTTGTTAGGCGATTGGGAGAGTACTTGTTTTTATACGTCAATTAAAAATTATATCCATTATCGTGACCTTGACAGTACAAAGCATTTTATGAACTAGGTATGTAAATATAATTAAAACACCGATAAATAAAAATTTGTGCTGGACATTGAGTTTTAGTAAAATTCGAACATTATTTTTAACATACACATACTTATATAAAGTGACATTCAAATATCGACATTATTGTCTAAGTATAGAAAGATGACATTTAAAAATAAGAAATAAGACAATTCGGCTTTTTTATTTATAAAGAAACATTATCTGTTTGGCTTCATACGTTATTTTTGTATAGTAACCGACAACATTATATTAGCAACTACACAGATTTTCACATATTATATACAATTCTTGTACATTAATTTATAAAGTAGGTGCGCAATACGTAGATATAGCTGTTTCACAGTCAACAGGTAAGGGTGAGCAAAGTGTACTTAATGTAGGTATTTTATCTCATTTCTATTATTATCTTTGTTAATGCGAATTCTTAAAACTATAGTAAGTATTTGTAGTAAATGAGCCCTTCTCGCGACATGATGTTTAGTGTTGATGGACGACGTAAAAATAGCTGGTACAGGTCGCAGCACGTAACTCTAGAGCTGAATAAAACGCTGATGGGATAGCTGCGCATGCGCATTAATTTCGTACCGCGTCTTATAGAAGTACCCGTTTTATAATGTATAGGTATTAAGAAATCGCATCAACAAAACACTAACATTAGCGTGACGTTATGTTAAACTTATCACCATATTTAATGATTAAGATATTATTGGTATCACTTAAAAGCTCCGTCATGGGCTTTCGACTTCCGTAAATGGATTCCCCTAAACAGTTTTTCTATCATTACCATTTCACACTTGTATGTAGGTAAGATTGGTCTCAGAGTCTAAGAATGTAATCGAAAATAAGTATGCTTCTATCCCTATCGCACATCATGTCATATAGCCTAATCTAAAATAGGTATAGCCTACTCCGACGACTTTCTTGTACGAAAAAATAGATCCCAGCGATCTGTAAGGCATATAGAGGGATCAAAAGTACCGCGTATAAAAAGTCAAAGACCAGACAGGACAAAGCACGCGGGATTCCCCGAAAAAAAAGGTCACGTGACAAGGTGCAGCAACGCACACAGCTTTGACGACCTCCGTGGACGAGTGGTTTGTACGCCGAGTTTCAAGGTGTCGCCGACTCGAGAGGTCCCGGGTTCGAATCCCGGTGGGAGCAGATGTGTGAGTGATGAATACGAGCATTTGTACTCCAGTCGTGGATGTTTAATATGTATTTCTATATAAATATACTTATATATGTACAGTATATGTATTCTAACCGTTACCCTAGCATCCCATAACACAAGCCTTACAGTGCTTACTTTAGGGCTAGGCTAATTGGTGTGAGTGTTGGAAATATTTATTATTTATTTATTTTAGGTAACTTCAGTCCGCGTTGCGCGCTCGATCAGATTTAAAAGAATGGATCCACTATTCTCTTTTAAAACGTTTTCTCTTTTTCTTTAACTTCAGAGACATTACAACACAACGTAACCTGAGAATATTTACTTTCATAGCCTGCGCTTACTAAATTTTCCGGCGACAAATGTCCGCACAACATGTGCGTTGAGTCCGTGACAAGTAGGTACTCGGCGGAAACATTTCTCACGATTTTGGTCCTCCGCGGGCAAAAGTCCCTCGTCTGCGCAAGCCAATAACGTGCAAGAGGGATAGAATATATTCCATCATTTTCAATTCGTTTCTTTATTGGCGCGCAATTTAGGCGTCCATTAGACGCTTATGCAGCTGTTAGTCATTCTTATTAGTAATGAAATGAATGTTAAAAAACGGATGGTGACTGAAAACTTATCAGGTTATCATCAGTCATAACCTTAACTGCCAGCAAACTGGTCGCAAATGTTACCTTCTAATGGACGCCTTATAGCTACTCAAGTTGATGTAACTTGCAGTAGGTCATCACTCTAATAACTCAGCAAAAAAAAACGGTTTAATTGTATCTATAGACGTGAAGGCGACTGTTCATATTTGCTATTAAAAAAAATTGCTGGTCAAACTATCTTCGACTTTGTATTTTTAGCTTATTACTCATCGTAGGTAAGTGTCCAAAGTATTACTTAATAAATGATACATAAAAAATATTAGAAATCTCATAAGTGCGCCCTTGTACTCATTATTATAGAAAAACTGCGAAGCTTCAGTGATACTCGACTAGAATTGTTTAAATTATTATCTATGACACTCTTTGGCTAGGTTACACTATATCAGATTATTATTACCATAAGATAAAAGACCATGTGCACCATACATCAATTCCAAATTCGATATAATTTTATAATGGTGAATACATACATACGTCTACGTACGTTTAGCCAAATATGTTTTTTACGTTTACATAAACGTGCCTCAAGGTCTTTTATAACGATTACGTATTTGTAAAATATTACCTAATTTACTATCACAACATAAAATTGGGATTACTTAATACTAGGTATTAATTAATTCTAGTTTAAAGCAAGGCAAGAGGAGTATCTTTATCACTGGCCAATGATTTCAGTTATTCCATTAAAATACAAAATCGAATAAAAATTAGCAGCCTTTAACAATCTTAGAACATAGTTATAATTTTTATTTTTAAGCATGTAACTGCTTGATGTTTAAATTTAAAGAAAATATAAGTAGAAAAAATTCCACGTGGACCAGGCAGCAGACGGGACTCGAACTCGCACCCTTCGCTATCAGGGCCAATGCACTGACCAATTATTCTGAATGGCGCTGCCTTGCAGCTTAAGAATGGCTAGAGGAATTTCGACGCGGCCATCAGGGCCGCGGTAGCATAATTTGTCAGTGGATTCGCCCGGATAGCGAAGGGTGCGGGTTCGAGTCCCGTCTGCTGCCTGGTCCGCGTGGATTTTTTTCTAATCTTAGAACATTTTTGAAGAGAATCTTCTGAAATTTTATTGGGATGAAATTCATCAAGCGATTTTCATCCCAAATGCTTCAGGTTCAGTGACTAGTTATGTTATTTTTTTTGAATGAAATTTAAATTAAAAATTCAAATTAATAATCTCTTTATGATTAGAGTACTTTAGTGGCTTTAAAAATATTATTTTGTTAAAATGATATTCGGCCAGTGATAACACATTATTAAGACTAGATAAATAGGTAAATGCAAAACATAAATACAGACATCCAATAGTATAAAAGACACTTGATAATCAGCGACTAGTCGCATCACAGTGAAATTAATTCGATTAAATGCATAATATTACCGTAGAAAGACGTCACTTTAGACAGCACAGTTGACAACATATGATGTTAACCAATTAAAAATAAACTATTTTTTTATTCATAAGTACCTCATTGTATTTAAATAAAAAAAAAACTTAAAATTGTAAGTCGTGAAATAATTACAAAATGTCCTCTTAATAACTTACATAAAATGTAGAATCTTCTTTCCCATTCTTCGAACACTATTTGTATTATTTGTTAAATCTCCCACATCGTTACTATATTCTAAAATGTTTATACTAACAAAGTAGTGAATTACTCCTTGATCTCTATCTCTGGAGCGAAACTAATAAATATGAAATTAAATTTGAATTGTACCTACATAATACATAAGTACATAATTTGGTAAATACAAATAAAAATACGAAATTCTATAACACTAATATGTTGTTGAAGAGCCAATTTATATTTTATGTTAATTGACAAATTGTCATATAAATAAAAGCATTATTCTATCATTCATATTATACGTATATCGGTACAATAAGTTATGTTAAATATCGTGTTTCTAATATTTTCACGCACAAAAACAATATTAAACATGTTATGAAGCACTTTTATTAGAATTAATTTTTAATTTATGTACGGAGCTTAATTCATAACCCATCTAAAAGTTTCTTATTAACTGATAAGTTTATTTTTCGGGACATAAATATATTTTCTATTAATTTTAATTAATTACACACTGGGAATTTGTGATAAAGTTTAAGTTGACTTTAGGCTGTCTTTTTCTAGCAGTACCTTAGAAAATGTGTTAAATAAACTACACTATTTACACAATATTAAATATTCCATAGTTCCAAATAAAATGCATTTAGTGTATATTATATTATTTAAAAATATTGATTAAATTCGTATAAAGGAAATTAAATATTTTCGTTAGATTAAATAAAGTTTTTATTTGTTTATGTGAGAATAATTTTTGTATACATAAATCATTTCTTTTTGTACGACTTACACTAAAACAAATCAGAAATAATTTCATAATTAAAAAATCTGGAAAATGTGACAATATTGAAACACGTTTCGTCCGTAAGTGTCGGTATTTACATAATTATAGATATTATTTATAGTATACAGAATATAGGTAAACATGGAAGTATTTTTACAGAAAACTTGCTCTTTGCCCAGAAACATAACATAATTCTGCCTACTGAAGAAGGCTTAATGCTACTACGAAAATATGTGTCAAATACAAAGTTTATAACAAACGGTATCCGCCCACTTTTGCTAGTATATCGTTTTCGTTCAATATCTACAAGCAGTACTCCAAGCACGAACAACTAGCGCGTAAGTATTCGTAAGGCCATGACATGACAAAGTTTCTATGGAAAAAGTTTTGTTCTTACGTCCGGTATGGGCGCTGCTTAGTTTTCATAGAAACCGAGGTTGGCGATACGAATACGAATCTGTCAAAGTTCGTGTTTGAAGTACTCTACATATCATGGAGGTTAGAGATAAGGATAACGATCGCTACGTACTAAAGCATTAGCCCGCCTGCCCTGAAAATGTGTAGAATTTATTGTTAATTTTTCAGCCATCAGCCGCGCTGCCGTCGGTAAGTAGTATCTGTGAAGTTAGCTGTTTATGAGTACAAGTAGATGAAGTTAGTTGAATTTTGTACAGATTTTCTCCGCGGCATTGGTCATTTCAAATTAGCCCGCTTTTATTCAGACAACTTAGCGATCGCAGCGCCTCACTTATTTTGTCCATATTTCTGGGACACTATTTTCTACAGCGATCGTTCTCCTTATCTCTAACCTCCATGGTACATATAATTTCTTATGAGCACTTTTTTATGAGTAACAACTGGCTTTGGAATACCACTTTTCCCCGTCACGCGCTTGGTGAGTTCCAGAGTGTGCTGACTAACTGTTTGGTTAGAAATTAGCTCGCAGATAATTTATACCTAGATTTAGATGAATTGATAATTCCACGTGAAGGATATAAAGTACACATTTTCAGATTTATAATATAACAGTAAGAAGTTTTAGTGTTAGACCTCAAACGATAATCGTTAAAAGTGGTAGACCGCCATTTTTCTAGACTGTACATTGAGTAAGTACAAAAAGTTTTTTTTTCATATATTTTTAAAACAAACACGACCTTTAAGAATTTTTCTAATCTGAAATGCAGAATTTAAGTTTGCCTATGTTTCTCTGCGAAAAAAATTACTGCAATAACTTCAGATAAATAGTTTTCTTTTTCCTTTTTGTTGTATATTATAATCATTATATATCTTCAAAATCATATAGCAATAAAATCTAAATTGACTAGAGAAAAACCATTTTGTTTTATATTACTATTTAATAGCAATATATTATTGTTATTACAATAAAATTCATTTGAAATTCATTGTTAACTAAGTGATAATAAGGACTACGTAGTCCTTTTATAACACACACTTATTAAAACAACTCACTTAAAAACGACATTAATTTGTGCGTTCAGTCTTCCACTTCTTATACTTTTCGCACCATTAGCAAATTTGGCCTTCAAATTGATTAATATCCATCCAAGTATGGTTTTTTAACGTCGGTTTAACCGTTTAATTTAAAATTACTTTATGCATATTTACGCAGAACCTTTTTTCTCACCAGCTATTTAGTAATATGATTGGCATGTAAGTCAATCATTAATAGAAACATAACTAGCGATACAATATATCATTAATCGTGAGCTACGTTGTTTATCATTAATCATTTGCCATCTTTTCAAGACTGCTATTTTTAAAATGAATGACTAGCATAATTATTTAGAATTGTAGACTATATCTACCTCATCTACGATACGAGTTTCATCTATATTTTTCTTACGGCCGTTTTTTCGTTTGTTAAGGAGTAGTTTGGAGCCAGGCGCGTAGTCCCCTAGCTCTTTCCGCGACGCCTCCGTCGGAATTATCTTGCGTTATTGGATCAGGCTAAATAGAGAAAAATAAAATAAGTAAAGTACGGCCAACGAGAAGCGATACAAAAGTTCATTCACTTTTTACAAGACTATGGGACTGACAGTCTAATATCTATCTCTTTCATCTCATTTAGATGACATTAAGGCCCGTATTATAGAAAGATTCTCAGTAATTAATCTAGTCTTGAGCATAGTTAGAAAGGGATGTCGCTATATATAGCACATAGCGACATCCCTTTCTAACTGTACTCAAGTAAAGATCAACACTTAGCTGTCAATCTGTAATACGGGCCTAAGTCTCGTTTGGTCATGTCACGTGAACGCCGAGGCACCGGCATTTGGGCGCCCATTTTAAAGTAAATAATAATGACATATTTTCATAACCTGTTTTCCGTTTTAATGATTTGAATGATGGTTACCTCATTTTATTTAAATATATTAAAATGAATTTCTATATAAATCTTCATAAATAAAATGTTATTTTCAAAAATTTTACCCACCCCTGCATTGGCTGATGAAATTTCATCGATCGTTTACATTTTGTATCGCTTCTCGTTGGCCGTACTTTATTACTACAGATCGCGCCAAACTTCTAGTCCGCTCCGCTTTGAAGTTGCTTCGCGCAGGTGTACAGTAGTATACACAATTTTTGTCACTCTATATACCTATCTTTTGTTACTGCGATGCGAATGCAGTGTTCGGAGCGGATTAGAAGATTAGCGTGATCCATACCGGGCAAATGAAATTAATCTTTGAAAAAAAAAATTGCCTTCCAATCGTTGTTCCAAACTTCAATCGCGATGCCTTTCAATATGACATTTGGACTCACATACTTCAATATTGACTTGTAAGGCTGTGTTTCCACAGAAGCGGAGCTAAGCATAGCCTTCAAATAATTAACCAATGACCTTACTCAAAATACACATCTCAGCTTCGCCCCACTTTACTGGAAACAGTAAGATACAAGATTCACGTGTTTTGTTTTGCACACAAGTATATAAAACCTGGCCTGTTTTTATCGCAGTGTTTATAAGGTGACGCTCTATCTAGAGAGTAAATAATCAAAGGAAAATCCATATCGTTCGTATTTAGCAGCCTAATAAATTTCTAAGTAAACTCATATCTGTCGTGTAATTTAAAAAGGGAACGATATTTTACATGGCAACCAAGGAGGTTACTTCTCAACAGTTTTATTTCAATTTAAGCTGTTTATGAAAAAAAAAACACTAACACGAGAAAAAAATATTGCTGTTCGTTGTTCGTCAATGATTTTGAAAACACGTTTTACACGTTCGTCCGTCAATGCCTCTTTTGCTGGCCGTTGCAGTAATATACTATACACAAAAATCTATAACGCCGCGCTATAGGGCTGGACGAAGCAGATCTTTTTTTTTCAAACAAAATGTATTTACAGCTCCTCTCAGCTCATATCCGCTTCACAGCTCGAATTCAATGATCTTCACTCAGCTACATTCCGTTCAGTTGAACGGAAAGTTGTGTCTCTGTACCACTTATCTTCGCGCTTCAATTAAAACAAGTACATATTTATACCGTTCAGCTAAACTCCGCGTAGCTCCGCTTCTATTGAAACGCACCCTTAAACCGACATTTGTAAAAAAATCTTTCAAGGTCACTTTGGAAGCTATCTTGTCTGATAGCAATTGAAGTTGGACAATTTATGTTAGGAGGTACATTTACTCGAAAATAAATCTAAATATTAATTGCTTCCACAAAAAAACTACCTTTTAAAGATTATCCAAAAGAGATAGACCAGTATGGCATAAATAAGAATCACCGGTAAAAAGACCAAAAATTTTCAACCAATAATAAATTTTCCTACCGAAATTTGTTTTTATTGCTATATTCTGGCATAATTGTGTTGAACAGTGTATCCTTGTCATTTTCTATATAGAATGAAAAGGAGAGACTGATGTAAAATTTAGTTTTAAGTTTTAAGAATCATGCCAGGATCGACGTCATTGTATACTTACAGCTGATAATGTCATTCGTGGTTGCGATGTTGTTGCTGCGTTACACGAACTTGTTTCTGGCGAAGCTGTAAAATTAATTATTAATGGTTAAAATGGCATAATTTTGATTAGAACCTTACTCCCACGCATACATTTTACTCCTCACAAATGCATCTGGCGTTTATTGTTATTACATTATTAGGTCAACTATTCTTGTGTCTTACTTTTTCTGCAATGTCACTTTTCTCTCTCGCAACAGATTTAAAAACATTATACCTAATTTGTATAATTTAGAACAGCGTATTTCTTTAAATGTAATCATCATCATCACCAGCCTATTAATGTCGCCACTGCTGAGGCACAGGCCTTTCCTATGGATGGAATAGGGAGATTGGGCCGTGACCAACCACGCGGGCCCAGTGCGGTAGGTGCTATCGACTGCATATGGAGCCGGGACCAACGACTTAGCATGCCTTCCGAAGCACGGAGGAGCTCGAGACAATAAATTTTTGGTCACCCATCCAATGACCTACGAAAGTTGCTTAATTTTAACTATCGTAGCCGAAAGCGTTGACGACCTTAATCCTCCATCATTTTTTTATCTAATATACATAAAAACATTGATCCTACCATCCAGGTCGAAATCATTATGTGCATTCACAAACAAAGTATAGTAGCCAAAACTACTGACCTGTATGTGGTCTCCTAGCATCTAATGCCCTCCATATATCGCGAACGTCTGCGTGTAAAGCACGAAGAGATCTTAATACAGCACCTCCCGCCTCAACTTCCGCAGCTGCTTCGCTACCGGAGGACGCGTCACTGGTCGTCGCTTCCTGTTAGCATTTATTTTCATAAATACTCCAGAATGCTTGACGGAGTAAGTATTCACACTATAGCATAGAAAATGGACTGAGCGTGCTAGGATGGCGTAGTGAATACAGACGCAGTCAACAGGCGGGCAACACCTTGGACAGTGTGGGATTTTGGACGTTTTGTGGGCACTTTATTTTATTATTTATTTTGATCAATTTTAATTAATTATGGCCACAATTTTAGCTAATGTAGTTTTGGAGATATTTAAGATCTCGAGAAAAATCCATAGAAACCTTAAAAACAGAATTTCATAATACATATGTATTTTTAAACATACACACATCAAAAGTGTCTAGGGATCAAGCATTTTTATGCGGATTTCTTGAGATTGAGATGTGGCTTTGTAATAAATTTATGATTTTATAAATTTATATGGATCCTTTTTGGTGCATTTCATAATTTGAATCAGGAACTGTGAATCAAATTCGAGTAAAAGATGAAAATCAGCTGTCAATATTTTCCCTATAAAAACATACAACGCATTGAAGACATTATTAGTGCTACTGTTTCCCTACTACTGATTAAAACCAACGTTATTATGGAGCGGCGACGTCATTTAAGCAGGGAAGAAATGCTCAGAGCCGTGGGAATGATAGAAGCTGGTTCCCGGCAACGTACTGTGGCTTTAGCTCTGAATACAAGTCAGAGTGTTATCAGTCGACTTTGGACACGATACCGAAGCACTGGTACCGTGGCTGAGCGCCATGGAGGACGGTATCGCTGCACCACACGGAGACAAGACCGATACATTCAAATCTTAACTCGAAGAGCTCCAACAATAACCGCCATGATGTTAGCCGTGAGGCTTCATCACTCTTCAGGGAACTTAATTAGCGACCAAACAGTCAGAAACCGCTTGCATGAAGTGAACCTTCATTCCCGAAGACCGCTACGGGTACCACCTATAGCAATGCACAATCGTAGGATTCGATATCAATGGGCTCTTGAACACAGAAATTGGGCAGAAGAACAATGGCGTTTCGTGTGCTTTTCTGATGAGTCTCGTTTTGGTATGAGACCGGATACAAGACGTATACGACACTGGAGAACCCCTGGACGCCAACAGCGATTAAAATCCTGCCAGGAAGTCCATCCTTATAGTGGTGGAACCATCATGGTATGGGCGTGTATTTGGATCGGCGGAAGAACTGAGTTGATTTGGATCAGAGGCAACCTCAACGCTCAAATTTATGCTGAGACGATTGTATCAGACGTCATCGTTCCTCTACAAGTGCAAATCGGTCCCTTATTTCAGTTAATGCATGATAATGCACGACCGCACACCGCAAGAGTTGTAAGACAGACTCTCGCCGCAGCTAACATCAATGTCCTGCCCTGCCTGCTCAGTCGCCAGACTTGAACCCGATTGAGCATGCATGGGATATGCTACAGAGAAAAGCTCTGCCGAATATCCAGTCGCAAGAAGACCTTTTTTTGTTGTTGCAACGAACATGGGCGGCCATTCCACAGCGTGATTTGGATGAACTCATTTTGAGTATGCCAAACCGATGTTCTTGTGTTGTTAGTGTTCGCGGTAGAAATACGGATTATTAATTGTTTAAGTTACCCAATAAAATTTTAGAGAAAACTGTTATTTCAGTCTTTTTTTCGAACTTTTGTGTTAGTGGTTCAAATGTCAAAAATCCCTTTATTAGGAAAATGGCAAATTTCTTTATTAATGCAAAGGTGACTTGGTTTATCGTTACTGTGACAAACGAAAACACTTTATTTGATGAATCTTTAAAGAAAATTTTAATTAATATCAATCAGGAGAAAAGTTATTGCAAAAATATATGTTGATCCCTAGACACTTTTGATGTGTGTATTTATTTATTAAGATTAGTTCAGATAATGTTAAAGTACTATTCCTATTTTAAAAAAAGTTGTAAATCATTATCCAATGCGAAGATCAGTATTTAAGAAAAACTACATTATTTCTTAAATACTGATTGTTTTTTTTTCTCTGTAGGTATTTAATATTAGCGATTGATTTTCACGTAAAAATGTTAAATTTAATTAGTACTGTCATTTATAAAAAAATGGTATTGAAATTATGCATGACTTCGGAGATATATATATATTTAAAGTGTCAGTTAGGGTTGTCACCTATCTTTTCCATAGAATTCAATGTGTACTGAATACCATTTGTTTTACCTTTTAGCAATGAAAGGGTTATGATCAGAATAGGCAGCAGAACGGTCATGTCAGCGTCCCTTTGCTAAATATCTGATGAAGGAAATCATGTGGTATTGGGAAGGGGTCCGCCCTCGTCAAGCATTTGCTAAAACTCAATACCCATACATAATGAATAATTCTCAGCTCAAATGAGGTTCTCATTCATTCTGATGACGAATAGTAAATACGTTACACTGTGTATAACGTCATCAGAATTACAGTCAGACGTTACAGTTCAAGTGCATAAAAATTCATTTTGCCTACGTCATGAATTTTTATGCACTTGGACTGTTCCCGAAGTTAGAATATACCTTAAAATACATAAATATCAGACAACCACATGTGCTTCGAAGCCTAAATAGAACATCCTACAAGTCGGTTAAAAAACTCCAAGTACAAGCGTTTAGCCATAAACTCATCGAATTACGGCATTTTGGACTTATTAGAATTACGAAATAATCTATTTTAAAATTAAAACGCATTTGACATCATCATCAGCCTATTAATGTCCCCACTGCTGGGGCACAGGCCTTCCCTATGGATGGAATAGGGAGTTTAGGCCATGACTCACCACGCGGGCCCAGTGCGGATTGGCGGGTGCTAACGACTGCAGATGCAGCCGGGACCAACGGCTTAACGTGCCTTCCGAAGCACGGAGGAACTCAAGATAGTAAATTTTTGGTCACCCATCCAATGACCGACCACTGCGAAAGTTGCTTAACTTCAACGTTCGCAGCCGAACGCGCAAACCACTTGCGCCATCGAGCTCCTTATTTGACATACTAAAAAACAAAAATTATTTTTTTCCTCTTGGGCACCCCTATTTCCATAGAAATCTGAATAAAACTTAGAAATGCTATAACTCCCAAGTCATTCTAGTTAAGCGACTATAATTTTGATCAAGGATAGGTAAATATGTACTTAATCTAATACAGACAAAAACAAACGCTAATATGGTCAAACAACAGTTAAATTAAAAAAAAATAACAAACATCAATAAAACATAATTATCTTTTAATAAAGAAAAGTTAGTATACCTAGCTTTTTATATGTTATGGGTATCATATTCATAAATCTGGAAAAATAGCTGTAGATAATTATCTATGATATTTCTCGAGATAAAAATATAAGTAAGTTTAGCAAAGGTCATCGACCTCACATACAAAAAAATATTGCACGAAAATTAAACATGATAATCAACTGGGAGTTCCACAGTAAGATTAATTATGACCCAATGCACCGAATCACAATATAAAAGAGAGGTGATCAAAATTAATCCAAAATCCCACACTGTGCCTTGGTGTAAATAAGAATGGGGAAGAAAATTCAAAGCTCATTACAGATGGCGCTTTGGCCGTTTGGTCCATAACAAGCAACCGGTAAGGACTGCGTTCTAAGCCTACGCTCTGAGTGCAACTTTTTACCCTGACGTTTCAATTTTGATATGAAATGTATGAAACTTATGACAAATTTGACATTTGTTGCATCTGGAGCGTAGGTTTGGTACCCAGCCCAAGTCAATAGGAATTTGTCGGTTTTCCTTGTGCCTTTGACAAATGTCTCGATTTGTTGTTATAGGCTATTCGTCACCTGCTCCTTTGGTGGGACAAATTGGCAGTTTTCTTTCCCATTAAAGAAGTATCAAAAAAAAATAGACACATTCAATACGAAAACTGTGTTGTCACAATGCTTTCTACGAAATGAAGATATCGCTGAAAAAAGGGTACTAGAAAAGGTTAATAATTGGAAGTAAATTATAATCTTAACCAATAATAGATAAGCCCGGAAAATATCTAACAGATTTACAGTTTCATGGTATTGTATTTAAATGTAAAAATAAAACAAAAAACCTACCATCTACTTAAGGATGGAGTTGAGCAACAAACAAAAAAAGCATTGTAAAATCATTTATTTACTGAAACCAAAACAAACAATACTTTATTCAACTTACTCTGAGACAAAAAGTAAACAAATTAATCATTTTTACCGAGAGTAAAGATGGCTGGTATAACCAGAATGATTACAAAACTTCACATTTCAACATGAAATATTTGCTTTAATTTTAGTATTATTATAATGATGAATTAGTTTTATAATGCGTTCAAAGTTTGGGAATAGCTACAGATTTAGGTCTTTTTAATGTCACCTATTTTTAAGGTATGATTTTATATGCGTATAAAATTTGACCTATTGAAAATACTTTTTACAGTCTGCTTATCTTTTGTCTCGGATGAAGTTGAATAGCGTATGAAAGTATGCAGCCGGATTCAAATAAAAAAAATAGTATACTTTTTAGAAATTATAATAAAACCGTTTCTAAACACAAGGGGCAATACAATGCAACTCCATAGTTTTTAATTAAAAATGACAAAATGTACGAAACATTAATAGCAAGTCATTCACAATGCAAGCAAAACGCGATCATGTGGCCTTATTTTAGAAGATAAATTAAAAGACAAACTTCTGTGCTATCACAATACGAACGTATTACAATTAACAAGAGTAAAATATTATGCAAGCAAAGTTCTAAAGAATTAAACTCTATAATCCAACTGTAGCCTTTAAAAAAAACTTCCTTACTACTAAAATACGAACGTAAAATATTTAATAAGACGCAAGAGTGGAATGAAAAACAATGAGAGCGAAATACGACCTATTAATCGTCAAATAAAAACGGAAATCTTGTGCTATTCAAATACAAACGTGATGAAATGAATGCAAAATGCCTTATCAATGCAAACTAAATGCGACCCAATAATAATTTATAAAAAATTTAACGTCAAAATACGAACGTAAAACATCAAAGGAAAGTCATTAACGATGCAAGCTAAATGCGACCCTATAATCATTTTAATACATAAATAAATAAAAACTTATGTATCGAAAAATATTAAATGCATGAGACATTCATGATGCTAACTTAATGCAACCCTATAATCATTTAGAACAATATAAAAAAGAAACTTAATTGTCAGCTTAAGAACGTAAAACATCAAATGCAAGATTCATTAAAAACGAAAGTGATAGGCGACCCTATAGTCGAAAACATAAGGTCTATCGACCTGCAGTGGCGGCGGATGAGAATAATCATTTTAAAACATAAATAAAAACTTATCTATTGGAAAACATCAAAATGTAAAAGTCATTAACGATGCAAAGTAAATGCTACCCTATAATCATTAAGAAACATAAATAATAAAAAAAAACTTAATTGTCAGCTTAAGAACGTAAAACATTTGATGTTTGCAAGATTCATTAAAGATGCAAGCGAAATGCCACCCTACATTCGTAAACATAAGGTCTTTCGACCTGCAGTAACGGCTGGTGTGAATAATCATAAATAAACATGTATCTATCGAAAAACATCAAAATGCAAGAGTCACTAACGATGCAAAGTAAATGCGACTCTATAATCATTTTAAGAACATAAATATTTAAAAATCCTTAATTGTCAGCTTAAGAACATAAAACATCAAATGCAAGGCTCGTTAAAGATGCAAGCGATATGCAACCCTACAGTGGTAAACATAAGGTCTGTCGACTTGCAGTGGCGGCGGATGAAAATAATCATTTTAAAACATAAATAAAAACTTATCTATTGGAAAACATCAAAATGCAAGAGTCATTAACGATGCAAATAAAATGCGACCCTATGATTATTTAGAAACATAAATATAAAAAAACATGATTACTATTAAAATATTGAAAAACTTAATTGTCAGCTTAAGAACATAAACATCAAATGCATAATTCGTTAAAGATGCATGCGATATGCGACCCTACAGTTGTAAACATAAGGTCTATCGACCTGCAGTGGCGGCGGATGAGAATCGGCGAGCCGGCGTAAAGCCCGCTCGATGTGTCGTAGCCTTATTTCCTTCTCGCCTAGTAAGGCGCGGGCTCGATGCAATGCCACCTCAAGCTCTGTGGCTTCTCTCTCCTCCTGATACCAAGTTGTTATTACAGTGCGACAGGAATCTTTATGAATAAATAAATCATCATCAGTCTATTAATGTCCCCACTGCTGGGGCACAGGCCTTCCTTATAGACGGAATAGGAAGATTGGGCCATGACCCACCACGCGGGCCCAGTGCGGATTCGTGGGTGCTAAGGACTGCAGATGCAGCCGGGACCAACGGCTTAACGTACCTTCCGAAGCACGGAGGAACTCGAGATAGAAGATTTTTGGTCACCCATCCAACGACCGCCCGTTGCGAAAGTTGCTTAACTTCAACGATCGCAGCCGAACGCGCTAGCCACCTACGCCATCGAGCTACTCAAATAAATAAATAATAAACCAAAATTTCCCACAGTCCCACCAATTAAAGCAGAAACAGACTTATTAAACGCGACGCAACTCCTAGCCACGCGACACGTAATTTCTATGGCGCATCGCGTCGCGTCGGATGCTCCTAATGTAACTCTGATCTTAGAAAATAGTACATTTTGATTTGACTCAACACGCATGGCATGGCATTCCATTTCGTAAGTCTGTTTAGACAGATATTTAAGTATATTTTATCAATAAATATATATATAAACATCCATGACTAATGCACAAATGCTCGTATTCATCATACTAACATTTGCCCCTTAATGGGATTCGAACCCCTTTAGAGAAGCGACACCAGGAAACTCGGCGTATATACTAATCGGCCACGGAGATCGTCAAATTAATGTGAGTGACAATTTAGGGAGGGAGCGGCTGAATGCTTAACTGGCGATACAAAACATAACGTTTAAGAAAGATGGCGGGGTTAGTTGCAATTTTTAGCCACATTCATATAGATCCTTGTCGCACTGTACATAGAAATGTTCTAAAGCTGGAGCTTTCCAACATTATTGAGTATGGATTCAGTATAAGTAACGCGCAAGAAATATACTGTAGGGTACAATCTTCTTTGGGTTATGACGGCCGCCGCTGACTCATCAGGCTTTCATTTTTTTTTTTTAGATAGAAGACGGTTTTACTAGTTACCATAACTGAGGAGCTGGCGAACAAAACGGTATCAAATTAATAAAAAAACTGAGTGACATACCTACAGTGAGCTTTTGGTGTGATTTTTAATTTAGTAATTATAACACTATTGTAGACGGTTTTGATTGACATGAATTGAAATTCAAATTCAGCTGGCCCAAAACTGGCTGTAAAAAAAAGTAGTATATGGTCAAAACCATATGCGTAATTATACCGTTTTGTTCGCCAGCTCCTCAACTATGAAGTTTCAGCAACAAAACGTTAAATATTATAATTTTCTTGCATTGTGTAACAAATCCAAAAAATACAACTGGCAAAAGATATTATAGTACACAATATTTAGTTCATTAGCAAACACAACATTCCTTCTATGATGTAATCTAATTTTTGACTAATTAAATTTAAAATACTCTTAAGTACGCTTACATAAAAAAAAACTCAAACTACTGTCTATCTTATCACTTATCTATACATTTAATAAAATGGTAGGAAATTCAAAACAGTACTCTGAATATTTTTTTTAAATAATACTTGGCGTGTGATCTACAATCGATACCGAACCCAAAAATATAGTTTTTAGAATTTTTGTCTGTTCGTTTGTATGTATGTCCGGGATAAACTCAAAAAGTACTGCATGGATTTACTTAAAATTTGGCACGAATATTATTAAGAAGTCGGGTCAACATATAGGCTACATATTATCACGCTATCACCTACGGGGAACGAGCAGTGAACCTTTATTTCTAACTAACTCCACGCGTACGAAGTCGCGGGCGGCCGCTAGTCTTTTTAATAAATATTGAACTTACCGATGGAGCCCTATGGGGGGAAAGCGAAGCCCTAGTTTCCCTAAGGGCGGCTCGTCTCCTTTTGAGCACAGCACGGGCTCTTCTCATGCCTTCTCTCTCTACCAGGGCGCGATGACGAACAAACTCTAATTCTGGTGCGTCTGCGGGTGCTACGGAACCTTTGGACAAACGCTGGGTGTGATTTTACCAATATAAAACAATGTTATGCTATAAAAAGTAATGACTGAAGTACTCGAACCAGACAGGTTAGATTTACAGGTATTTTGACACAGATTCAAATAAAATGTATTCGCTACTAGCGACACGCCTTGCCAAAATATTGATTTTGATATCTTACTACACCGGTAACCGGTACCCGTGTGTTAATTTATTTCTTCTTCTATAAATGCGTGACTTCATTTCACAAAATTCAGGTACAACACTTTTTGAAGCTAAATGCAGGCCTTGATTTTTTTATGTAATTAGAGCTCTGTTATAAACTCTAGGAGCTGGTTCTCTTCCCGTTGCTGCTTCATTGCAAACATTACTTATAAGAATATTGACTATATTTCGTGTTTCATCTGAAATAGATTTTTTTAGAAATAGATTGACCACAGTGGGGTTTCGATTGTAAACTGTTAAGGACCTCACCTTAAACCAAATAAACGTTTAAAAAATGCATACAATAAAATGTACACATAATAGTAAATAACCAAGACTTACCATATTCATTGTGACGGATCCAGTACATTTTCTCTCACTAGTTCGACGGTCGAACAAATGAGAAAAAAAATCTCACTAGTTCGACGGTCGAACTAATGAATCGAACTGGTGAGAATAAAGGAGTTTAGGCACCTAATATTTTTTTCCATAATGGCGGGAGCCTCCCTGCTGGCTCTTTTTATTTTGCGGTAGCCGTATGCTACACCCTGTGTTCCAGAGTATACTCTGCATTAAGTATGATTCTCGGAGACAAAATTCTCAAGATAACACAAATGAAGTTGCGGGCAGAAGCTACTCATCCTACTATCAAACTAACTATAGTACTAAATATGTACTATAAATGTGAAAGATACAAACTTTCACATTACTGTATGATTGTTACTCAATCATGAGAAAACTACTGAATTGATTTAGACGAAATTTGGTATTCGTTTAGTTTATGACCTGGATTGAGAGATAGAATACTTTTTAACTCCCAAAAATGTTGGATTTCTGAGGGATTTCAATCGCCTCGGACGATCCATAAAATGTGTAATACTCGGAGACAAAATTCTAAAGTTCACATAAATGAAATTGTGGGCAAAAGCTGTTAAGTATTTAATAATTGAGAAGCTGGCGAACAAAACGGTATAATTACATAAAATTAAATATTACAGGAGCTGTATAAAACTGAATGACATATCTCCAGTGAGCTTTTGGCATGGTTTTTAATTTATAAATTTAGTTATTTTAACACTGTTTTGGCGGTTTTGATTGAAAATTATTTGAGATTCATATTCAACGGGCCCGAAACCTCCGGACTGTAAATAAAAAAGTAGTTTGACCAAATGCGTAATTAATTATACCGTTTTGTTCACCAGCGCCTCAATTATATTCTTACCAATTTCACCAAAAGGGTATCTGAGACTATAGGAAGGTTGGCACGCGAGATCTGGGAACTGGTCTTCGAGGTCGTCCAACTTGCGAAGCTGCTGTCTTAACGATTCCAATGGACTGGACCAACCTTCACCTCGCCTGTGAAATATGATGATAAAAAGGTGAACAAAATTCTTTTAAATCCATCTATAACCATATTATAAATGCGAGTGTGCCTATTGGTCTGCTACGACACGCTTAAACTGCTGGACCAATTTAGAGGAATTTTGACAGAGATATAGTTTGAGTCCTGAATCTGGGAAAAAAACTATCCATGGAGATTTTTCCCAGATTTCACTAAAGTTAAAATTTCTTTATTCAAATAGGTAGCATAATACAACACTTTTGACCCATTAAGGGGGTTTTTTCACTTTTCGTGTAAGTTTGTATTGAAAACCATTTTTTCTATGCAGACGAAGTCGCGGGGCATCACTAGTATAGTAATTAATTTTTCTTCAGATTTAAATGTCAAGCAGTTTAATGCATAAAAATATATAAAAATTGTGTAGATAAGATTGCTTCTAGCAAGAAGACTGTCTAATAAATAGTGCTGTAATTATACTCGTAGAACCCGTCACGTAAAAAGGCCGCTGAGCGATAGTGGGGAAGATGTGTTTGCGAATGGTTACAGTCGCATCCAAAAGTATTAGGCTTTGTTTTTTTTAGTATAAGCGTCAGGTTGAATTATGTAGAGTAACAATAGGTTTTTGTATGTTACAGGCAAAAATTAAGCACAATAGTCGATAAATCGCGCCGTGCGCAGATATAAAGCCAGCAGCAATTTAACGTGACGGGACCTATATCTAAATATTTACGCTCAAATTTCTTTAATGCAATGTTGTAAAATTATTATGTGTATAACTAACTTGGGTGAATAATTGAGACGAGATGTAGAAGCGGATTTTAGCCTTGTGAAGCACCTGCGACGCCCGTGGCCTGAAAAAAAAATGTTATTTATTTTAGATTCTGGCCAACTCATATCTATTTTAAAGTTACAAAATACTTTGGAAAATAAATAACATGTAATCCTACTAATATTATAAATGTGAAACTTTATATGTTTGTTACTCAATCACGCAACAACTACTGAACGGATTTGGACGAAATTTGGTACGTATATAGTTTATGGCCTGGATTGAGACATAGGATACTTTTTATCCTGGAAAAATGTAAGGTCCTAAAGGGATTTAAAAAAAACTAAAGTTAATGCCGACGAAGTCGCGGGCGGCTGCTAGTACTTATATAAAGAAACATGACTCGAGAACAATTAATATTAATGCTCATCACGCAAATATATTCCTGCCGGGAGTGGAATCCAGGACCATTGTAGTAGAAGACAGGAGCTGCCATTGCTATTACACTAGCCATCCATTAAAGATTCATCCACGTTCACCTTTAAACATAAACTTTTATGAATGTTCAGTAAGAAAACTGTGTTGTAATAAATTACCATTAACAGCTTCTTTTGGTTTTTCATCTGCCGTCGTTGCGTCAGACGAATCTTGGCAATCTGTGGTAGCACCTGTAGCATAACCAAATTATTTCACAATTTACCTTACTTTTATGTGTGCGAATTAATGTAAAATCGATGGTAAAATTTTAATACTAATATACAACAATCATCTTTAAACACATCTCCAGCCTTTTGGCTATGTTTGTTACGCAACTATTAGCATAGGTTCAGATTTACTTTTCAATTCAGAATAGTCACAATTTAATTATGTATATTTAAAAATACTAAACGCGCATGTAACATACAACTTCCAATTTGTAGTTTTTTTACTTACAACCACTAATTAAGCTAGGTTAAAATTATATACTGACCGGTATCTCTATCTCTGTCGCGCCTACGACGCGGCGGTTCCCTAAACGCGACAGCTGTATGTCTATGAGGACGTTGATGTTTCGCAGTCGACACCAGTGATGTGTCCGTTGATGGTACCTTCTGTGAAACAATTTGCTTAGTATAGATAGCGGCAAGCTGCTTGAGCAAAACCGCAGACAAATGAAGTTGTGCAATAGACTTTTTTGTACGTAAAATTGATACTGCACAGACTTCCTTGTCTATGGACGTTGCTCAAGAAGTTTGCCGGGGTGTATACTATGAAATTGTAAGAGATTTGCAGCCTTAGAAGTTTTCTCAATATTGACGATGATGTTTCCTTTTTTCTGTGCGTAATTTTTGGTTTATCAGTAACTTCTCGGTGAAATGGTAACGCGAAGCCAGCGCTGGCGTCGCGTCGTCGTTGAAAGGACACTGCGCTGTTATGACAACGACGCTTGATAGACGCTATACTATATATAGACGCCTCTAACTTCCGCTGAGACAAAAAGTAGACAAACAAAAAAATCTATTTTAGTATCTAGATCAAATTTTATACACATATAAAAATCATAATTTAAAAAAGCGAATTAAAAATTAAAACTTTGAATGCATAATAATACTACTAAATTGAAGAGTAATGATAAAGCAATAAAATCAGTCTGGTTACACCGGCTATATTTACTCTCGATAAAAAAGTTTTAGAAACGTTAGTTTATTTTGCTCTCAAAGTAGAGGGAATATAGTATAGTGTGGGGTTACACTAAGTCAACATACATAACCAAATACTCACATTGTTGGTCGTCGTCCAATTGTTGTGGTTGTTGTTGACAGACTTGTGTTCGGATTGCGAGGTCTCGTTGTCGTTGTACTTGCCGGGCGCGTTGTTGTTGCCGCGAGCGCTGCACGGATCAGTCTCAGCGGCCACGCTAGATGAACGCTCGTTCAGCTCTTTACATCTGAGAGACGTATTGTGGCTTTTTAAGTGCCGTGTTTGGCTGCTGTTATTGTTAAAATTAAGGGCTGCTGTTATTGTTGAACTGTTGTTATTTTTTAACTGCTGTTATTGTGAAATAGATATAGAAGAAAAAGAAGTTTTTGGGTTCATCCATTTATTACATTTGTGAACGCTTATGCTGCTGATTTTACTCGAAAATAAGGTTGGTTGGTTATGGTTTGAAAACAGAAAAAGATTTTTTTTTTATTATTATTATTTTAGAATGAGCATATCTTCATTTCCGCTATTGTCCACACAACAACAGCGGCGGCTTTTCCTACGCTGTCTCAGAGCGAACTTAAATGGCGTCATCAAGTGTAACATAATACGTATAATATCGCAGAAATGCGCGATGCGAATTAGATCGAAAATTCTTGCGGTGCATTCGTACGAGCTTCGCAGATATTTGCAATGCGATGCGAGTTTGTAGTTGTGTACTTAAACTGTCCCCTGCCCCTTGGTGACATATAATGAGGTTTATCTCTCCCGACTTCTTCTTTCTCTCCCGACTTCAACGAGAGACGTTTGTCAATTCAATTAATCATTTAACGTTTTAAGCACAGTTTTTTACACTTCCCATCACTCTGGTGACACGTGGTGAGGCTTTCCATCTCCTCTATGCAAAAACAACGATATTTTGGTAAAACATATCTTAATACATCAGAACAGTCTCAATGGCCACGCTACGCGAACGCTCGTTCAGCTCTTTACATCTGACAGACGTATTGTGACCTTTTCAATACTGTGTTTTGACTCCCTCTACCCCCTGGTGCTATGTTATGAGGTCTTTTGTGTAAAACATTTTAAAATATATTAAGAGTAAATGGCATAAGACGTAAGGAAATCAACGTAAGTCGTTCAACGAAAATTAAATACTCGTGACAGTTTTTGCCTGACTTGTGTTCGGATTGAGACGTCTCGTCATCCTCGTATATTGCAATTCAAACTTTTTAGTAGCTGTGTCAGAGACCGATGGGGACAAATCATAAAAACTGTCAAAATCGATTAGTGATTACGGTCCTCAGTAATGAGGTGATCACACATTTGTCCACGCCGAACACGCCGTATTTGGAAGTGATGATGGAAGTATGCGAGGTTCCATATGATTGCATAAACGATTTAGTAATGACATGAGATCCAAACTGCGCTAAAAAGTAGTTTCACGCAAACTACGAACAAGTGGGCGGAGACAAAAAAATTGCGATCAACACGCCGACCATGGGATTGGTTAGGATTTTCGTTTAACATTATCTTACTTACCCAATGGATGAATAGCCGAATTCATTTGAAGGTATTGAATTTGTCAAATCATTTTGTTCTGTCTGAGCGCAACTATACAAAGGTTTCAGTTCAGTGAAACCCCGCGTGCATCAAACTTTCCCCTCACCCCTGGTTTGATTGAATGATGAATTTTACTCACCATCTGTCCAAAAGGGACATCATATCTTATGTTTAAAATTTACCAAATATTAACAAGGGCATGTGTCACTTTTCAGTATAGAAATCGAGCAATCATAGAAAAAACTAAAATAAACGCGATCTGACTACACTGAGACACAAGGACAAACTTTGACAGATCCGCAATCGTTTTATCATCGTCAAATTTTGTATGGAAGGAGCCAGTTTGTTCTTACGTCCGGTAGGGGCACTGCTTAGTTTTCATTGTAACTTTGGCGAAGCAGGATACCGATTAGCCGGAAACCAACTACGGAAATGTCAGAATTTATGCTTTGGTGCCAATAACATTACTATAAATATATTTTGTTTTCGGTGACTTTTCCCGCTCACCTTTCCTGTGTTGCTTTATGAGAGTTTGACTTCTCCGTTTCCGATCCGGTGGTCATACTCATTTCCCGTCTCTTGTTACGACGTTCTATAGACATCTAGAAACAATTTAAATATTCATACTTAAACTATCTAAAAGCTTATTCTATTTTTTTTAAACTTTAAACTACTACAGAGGAGCTCGATGGCGCAGGTGGTTAGCGCGTTCGGCTGCGATCGTTTAAGTTAAGCAACTTTCGCAGTGGCCGGTCATTAGATGGGTGATCAAAAATCTTCTATCTCGAGTTCATCCGTGCTTCGGAAGGCACGTTAAGCCGTTGGTCTCGGTTGCATCTGCAGTCCTTAGCACCCGCCAATCCGCACTGGGCCCGCGTGGTGAGTCATGGCCCAATCTCCATATTCCATACATAGGGAAGGCCTGTGCCCCAGCAGTGGGGACATTAATAGTCTGATGATGATGATTGAACTACTGCCACCTTATTGCAAAACGTGGACTTCACTAAAACTGATGCTGTCACTTTTGTATACAAAAGTACACAGAGAACAAAGAGACAGAGACAAAATTAAGTTTAAACCAAGGCTAACTTTAGTCCGCGTTTCGGAATAAAGCGGCTAGAATTATAAGTCTAAAGAAAGTTTTTACGGCCGGGCAGCAGACGGGGTACGAACCCGCCACTTCCACAATCCGGAACGACGAAATAACTAAATAAGCTACTGCGACCTTAATGGTTCGAATCGCGTCTGCCGTCTGGACGGCGTGGAATTTTTTTCAAGATATTTTTTTTAGTACGGAGTAAGTATCTAGGGCTTATATAATCTATAGAAATATATTTTCTATATATTAATAAATCAAGCAGTAAATTGCTTTAATAAAATATAATAAACTATATAAAACTCTATACTCACACTGTTAAATCGGTAAGATAAATGGCGTGAAAAAAAAAGAGTTCTACCTACCGAAGCGATAAAAAAATATTAAAAAGTTAGCTCTTTCTTTTCAAAATAAAAATATTTTTGGCAAATAAGACGAAACAATATAAAAAGAAATTGTATCGAAATGCATCAATGGACTATCACGTTGATATACACAAATATATTTACAATAACAGAGTGAATATAGTCAAATTGTATAGAAACCTTGACGTCATGCTTTAGCCTGGCATATTTCTCCTTTAGACACCTATATTTCTCGGCAAGAGCTCTCTCGTCTTGTTGTCTTCCCGAAGCAGCCCTTTCGTTTGCCAACCGAGCGCGTAACTCTTCCAAATGGCACGCGTGTTGAGTACGAAGCCGTTCTACCTATAAAGTCGATATACAAGGTGTATCAGAAATAACGCAGACCGTGAAAGTAGTTTGGTTGGAATTGGCTTCTGAATAGACTTCAATAAAAACAAAAACGAGCGAGCCTTACAGTAGTAGCGTATGATGTGTAACATTTGAAACCTCACCTTATATTAGTAAAAAAAAGAAATAAAACCTACTACAAAAGGAATAATAAGCCATTTGAACATTATGTTCTAAAATCAAATCAAATAGCGCGCGCTTCCCAAACTTCCTGTTACACACTTCAGTCCCACTGCACGTAATCACTCCCACAAATTACACGAAAGCGAGAGGAAAGATGTTACACATCAAAAAGAGTAACTATAAATATATAAAAAAAAAACATTCTAAACAAAAGAATATCACACCATAATACATGGATAAATCATATTGTAAAGAGCAATTTTTAAAGGCATTAAATAATTTTACTCACGCACGTTGAGATATCAGTGGTTGATTTAACTGATTAAATAAAACTTACAGAAATTGATTCATTTACATAATTGAGACAAACTACTTTCTGGTTTACGGGTGTGGTTATTTCAGATACACGTTGTGTATATGTATATATTTATATATACAGGGTGTGACAAAAGTCCGAAATAAAACTTTAGGGTTTGGTTGTGTTCCTTGTATAGAATTACCTACGAAACTTTGACGCCTTTCAGACCACTTTTATTTACTACTACTACCTAAACAGACCCCCCTCTCTCCCCCAGGCGCCCCTGCGCCCCGCTCAGATACCTACAAATTTTTAGTTCGGAATACATACCTACAAATTATATTTTATATATATATATATAGCACCGTAACTTTGTAAATACCGTTAGATTATTGTCTATGTCACTAGATTGTAAACTGTCGAAATAATGTGAACATATTGACTGAACATACTGCTTACAATTTGACGCATTACTTTTGGGTACCTAGATTATAATGAATCGAAGTAAAACCGTAAAATTGTGAAATGGCACGCTACGGAACGCACCTCATGCACTGATTCGTTGAACAGAATGTGCCACGCGTCACCATAATTGTTTGCTAATTCATTGGTTATCGAAAGTAAACATGCAATATTTAGGTGATTGTAAATAAATTTCGTGTTAAAAATAACTCACAGCTTTAATACTCAAGTAAAATAAATGATTAACCAAAGAGGTGCCAAAGAATTTCTAACTCTATGTACACAGAACAGTGCACTGTAAGACTGATCAATCAGGGACAGCCATCAGACAGTTGAAACAATAAGGTATTTTCCAAATTTTTGAAAACTGCTTATTTTTAAAGATTGGAACAAACGATTTAACAAAAAAATAAAAATAAATTAATTAATGTCTTTTTTTCTCTATTAAACCAATTAAAGTTGAATTTATTTTTATTGGTTTTGAATTTACCGCAAAGACGCTCGGTTCGATGACATCTACTGTGTGACGTCAACTTTGTGTATGCTATGTAATTATCTGAAGGTCAAATTATTAACTTTTTTACGTTCGGGATAAAATAGTATAATACTTACACAAAAATTTTAATGTTTTGAAACTCTGTAGCACAGAAATCAGGATTACTTGCAAAGTACTATAAATTTATCGCAAACGTAAAAAAAGTTAATAATTTGACCTTCAGATGATTACATAGCATACACAAAGTTGACGTCACACAGTAGACGTTATCGAACTGAGCGTTTTGTCGGTAAATTCAAAACCATTAAAAATAAATTCAACTTTAATTGGGCTAATGGAGTAAAAAAGACATTAATTTATTTATTTTTATTTTTCTGTTAAATCGTTTGTCCCAATTTTTAAATAGAAGCAGTTTTAAAAAAATTGGAAAATACCCTATTATAATGACGATATCATATAACAGTTGCTGATAATTTTGTTCCTATCCTAAAGTTGGGTGAAGTCATTTACTTGGACCTATATATTAAAAAAATGATTTTTTAATACTTTGATAGCGCTAGATATAAATTTTCTTACCTCTGCTCGATAATCGTGTCTCATATCAGTGACTCTAGCTGTGTGCTCTTCACGCAAAGTCTCAATAGTTGCTCTGTTATCTTCTATCATTCTTGCTCTTTCTCTGTTTAGGGCAGTCAGAAGTTGATCCCTTACATCGGCTAGGTTACGATCGTTTTCTAAAGTAATCATGAAAAAAATACAATTTTAATTCCAATTTTATTATACTTAAAACAAATAATTTTAAACCATTAATCTATTTATAATTAATTTTTGAAAAACATTTAGCGAAACATGAAATCAAAGTATTTTTTTTAACGACGAATAAGCGTAGTAGTTTAGTTACGCCGTGTTTAGTTCATATCAGTGAAATGATATTTGCAATTAAATGAACAGAGCTTCAAGCAGCATAAGGGCGTAAAGAACCCAATGGCTTGGATTGGATGGATGGCTTAAAATTATTCAAAATCAGCAACTGCCCGCGACTTCGTCTACGATCAATTGATCCATTAAATCCATTAAACCACACTATAAAGGATGATTTCTGAGAGAAAAACCAAGCTTTGTCCTTTCCCGGGACTCGAACGAAGATATCTTTAACAAATTTCATCTAAATAGGTTCGGCGATTTAAGCGTGAAGAGGCAACAGACAGACAGACGTACTTTCGCTAATATTAGTATTATTAGCATCATTTATAAAACACAAATTTACCAAATTCCAACTCCTGTTGTTGCTCCAAAAGTCTCGCCTTGTATTCTTCTTCCAATCGCTTCATCTTTTCTTCGTGCTGCTTCGCTAAAGATTCCGCTTCACGACAATATTTCTCCGCGTAATCTTTTTCCAAATTCTGTATCGCTTGAACGTGGTTACGCTCCGCAGTTTGTAACGCCTGTTGACATTATAGAATCATAAAAAAATACTTTCGAAACAAAATTGCTATTAAATTCAGTTGTTCAGCAGAACTATATGTCCTGGTACTTTATAAAACAAAGTCACCGCTGCGTTTGCAATTGGAAGATCTCAAAAATCTCAAAATCTTCTAACCAGAAGATTTATAAATATAAAACAAACATAAGAACAAAGACTACATTCTAAGCTGAAACAAAACGTGAACGTCACCAGTTGGATTTATAAAAAAATCTTTAAAAAATTATACCGTTTATATTAAGAACTGAAGAGTTTGATGGCGCAGGTAGATAGCGTATTTCGGCCTGCGATCGTAAAAATTAAGCAAATTTCGTAAAGGTCGGTCATTGGATGGATGACCAAAATATTTTAATCTTCGGAAAGCACGTTAAGACATTGGTCCCGGTTGCATCCGCAGTCGTTAGCACCCACCAATCCACACTCGCACGCGTGGTGGGTCACGGCCCAGTCTTCCTATTCCATCCATAGGGAAGCGCAGTGTCCCTGCAGTGGGGCATTAATAGGCTGATGATATTAAGAACTAACTTTTGAGTGTAATAAATAATTTCACCGTGTCCGTGATCAATACAACTTAGTCAGCCGTTTAATTCGACTATTAATTGAAAATAATATAAAAAACAAAACAATGATTACTTTGTTGAATTAAAAGAGTAAATCTATGAAAGTAGAAAGTATGTAGTGTCCAAGGACTGGGCTAATTGGTGTAGTCTTAAAAATATTAATTTAATATACTTATTTATGTTTAAAAATGGTACCTCTTCATATTCTTTTCTGTGGCGTTCATTCAGGTCCGTCAGTCTTACCCTCTTCTCTATCAAAAATCTCTCTTCTGAATCTCTTATTTCATCCTGAAGTTCTGCTCTCATTCTTCTTTCTTTAGTAGACCATTCCATTCTCATACTTTCTAACTCTTTCTGCAGTGACAGGTCCAGTCTTCTTCTTTCGTCTCCTTTAGATCTGTCAAACATATCTCTAATGCCTGTGTCAGGTATTAGAGGAGATTTAATAGTCTTTGTAGCCGAATCATCTGCAGTTTCAAACTGGTATACGACTACAACATTATCTGTAGATTTTCCCTGTGACAATATCACTCCATCTAGTCTAGGACTTGCCAAATTCTTTCCTAAGCTTGAAGCAGAATCTGAAGGCTTTATTTGGGGGGCTATCACGGCTTTATTTAAAGGCTTAAATGTTGATAAAGGGCTCCACTGTTTATTAAATTCTCTTGGAGATCTTATATCCGAACCATAACTTGGCGTTGGGGATACCTTTAACTGAGGAACTTTATGTACTTCCACACTAACAGATCTTGTTTTTGCCTCCTCATCCAAGGATTTTTTGGAATCATCTGAATCGGAATGCACTACTTTACTCTGTTTGGAAATAATATCTAAATTAGGAACTATAATTTGAGGTATCGTGACGTTATCCAATCGCGATTTATTTTGCGTACAAATCGATTCTTTGGAATGTGTTGATATTTTCTCTGAATTTTCGGTCAGTTCGATATCTTTTGAACTTAGCTTTTCTTGTGCATCTGCTGTTTGATTTGTTTTATTACTTTCATCTTTTGGAAGGTCATTGGAATCATCAAGATCATTGAGATCTAAATTAGCAAATTCTCTATCTGGGGAATCAATTGATGTCTCTGATTCAATACTCTCCATTAGATTTATAGATATTTTACTCTTTTGTGGGATCATAGGAGATCTGTAAATATAATAAAAATTATTTCAACAAGTTTAAACAAGGGAACATCAGACTTCAAACTAGGTTTTTAAAATACCTTGGCCTTGCTTCTTTCTCCAATGTCGGTTCTTCAAGGGTCATCGGCGTAGGTTCGATATCACTAGGTCGAACTAGATCAGAAATTTTTTGGAACGTCTTTTGGAATAAATCTGGTTTTATATAAACGCCAACTGGTGGCTTGAGTACACGCCGCTTAGGTGAAATACCACGATTTTCACTTTCTGTAATCATCATCATACGTAATTGAAAGTTTATAAATAAAGAAAAATATTTAAATATTTATAAAGAAAGTTGTATATAAATCTAGAACACTAATATGTAATTTCAAAACATACAAATATATAACTAACTTACCAAATGAATCTTTATCCGAAAGAGATGCGCTTTTAACTTCTCTTGGACTATCACTAGCTGGACGTGGTGGCAAAGGAGGCCTAGAAGCTAAAGGCGAAAGCACTATCGGAGGATACATCGTTGAAACAGAAGGCACAGAATTGGAAGCAACTGGAATAGGAGATAATGGCTTCATTGCCAATATTGAAGGCACGGGGTTAAAAGTTGGATTAATAGGTTTGATAGAAGAAATGTTAGCAATCGGATTGAGAATAGCAGGAGAAGACGGTGTAATGGGTGATGAGACAGCTGGTGTGGCACTTATGATTGAACTTTGACCATCGTTCTGTTCGGACGAACTGTTCGAGCCGGGACTCATTGTTGGCTCTGGTAAGTTCTCTAACTTAAATCTGAAAATATTACATATGATTTTAAGTTTTCTTCTATAATATCCTTTCTATCCTTTTTAAGCTGAGACTTTAGTTAAAGGCGGCTATAAAAATGCTAGGTTATATATATTTCACCTGACACTCTTGCGATCTTCTTCAAAACTGGTAGCCTGTTTCTGTCTTCCAATAATCATATTCTCGGCCTTCCTCTGCATTGTGTCTGAAACCTTCTCCCGCAGTATCCCTTTAGGTGGATCGCTCTTAGTCAACGACTCCAGTGGATTCGATTTCTCAGTGTCAGGGCTAGGCAGATCTGATTTACTCAACTTAAGAAACATACATCCTTTACCTGCAAATAATTTGTAGGTGTACATCTCATTTTCTTATTAAAATTATTATACTATGAATGTTTCTACACGATATTTAAAGCATAATGTAATTGTATTCCAAGAAGTCTAGAATAATTAAATGTAATATGAAGTAAAGACGTAAAAATCAACAGAATTCTATTTTACAGACAAGATAAAATACCGTCTTACCAGTAAGTGGTAGTCCTTTATCTACTTTCGCAGCAGACAATAGTGGACTGAAGTTCTCTTCTTCAGGGCTGTTCAATACATGCATCTTCAAGTCTATGATTTCAGAATGCTGCTTAAATAATTGCTTTGGCCTTTCAAATGTGGGACGACTCAACAAATCACGGTCCGAGATATTTCTAAGCAGATTTGGTTTGGTTGTTGATGGACTGTCTACACTACGCCTTAAAGGTGATATTCGTATATCACTTAATTTTTTATCAAGCCTTCCTAGAGATGCTAGAGGTGATCTACTCGTGGCATTTAGGCGCTTTAGGCTAGATGTTAAGGTTCCAGATACATTTTCTTTGATATCAGTTTGATTTTCGCTGTCGGTTGTGAGATCGTCATCATCACTCTCTACTTTGGTCTCAACGCGTTCGAGATTCTTGGTGTTTTCTTCTGATGTAAGCAGTTCCTAAAATGTTTTCTTGACTCTAAATTCATGTTTTCACAGTAATATAGAAAATATAAAAATAGTTTAATAGCATCCTGAAAATTCTGTTTAGACAATACAATTCCTAACATAGTCTATTTGGATCAATGCAATCAACTTGATTTAAAACCTACATGACTGGCTATATAAAATAAAATTTTAGTATATAGCAACTGTACCTGTACAGAAGCACAAGTATCATCCTGCATGGAAGCATCACGGGCACGTTTCACCAGCTCTCTATAAACATTATCTAAAGGATGTTCCCACTGAGTCTTTTTAGTCTCCTCATTGTAGTAGTAGTGTGTTTGAATTTTTTCATCATAACTGAAATTAGATTGGCGCATATGCAATTTCAAGACAGCCACTGTAAAATTTTCTCAATACATTCTGAATCTTTAAATAGTATTAAGTTCAGAGGCCGTTGGAGTTTTTTTTTTATTATGGCTGTCTGTATACTCTCGAGCAAATAATGCGGGTCACGCCCCTAGTAAATCAGTATGCCTGATTCTGCAAGAAGACCATGGAGCATTCACTAGTGAATGCAAAAGGTTTGTGCACTGCACATAATTTTAAAAGTCGGAAATCAATCGGAATGAATCGCGCTTCACACACACACATACACACACGCACGCACGCGGGTTCTTAGTGGGTTGGCCTCCGAGGACTGATCGAACGGCGTTCCGTTGGATATATCCACGGAGGGGAGTCCTTTATAACTTCGCTGCTGGTTAGGCCGAGGGGTATACGTCACGCATTTTCCCCGCGGTAAAAAAAGGCGAGACGTGAAGCGAGTGGCCGGAAATTGGAGATAAGTAGCGCGAGGATCTCAACTTGAATACGCTGCGATTATGGTTAGTAAGTTAATTTCGAGGCAATTTGATACCGTTACGTACGGTGCTGTTTGGAGTGCAATGCAGTAGGCAGAGTCATACAAGGAATACTTATCACTGAAGTTGAAGCAATACATTTGCAATCTTAATCTTATTTATATGATCTTTTTAATTAGGGAAACCAAATATTAGTTTCAGTTTACTAGCTTCCACCTGCAACTTTGATCCTGTTAACTTTAGTTCTGCGCAACTTTCTTTTTCTTTCGTGAGAACCTTTTACAAAGTACTAGAAAACTTAAAAAGAAAAATGGAGGATATCAGTACATAGATCAAAAAGAGACGTTTCTATCAAATAGGAATTAATTCAATAAAGAAAATAAGCAGTCGTTAAAGTGTAGGAGCACACAATTCGTTACGGCGGCACTAAAGGGGAACACAAATGTTAACTTAATGAAATCAGGTAAGGATTTTCATACTTACTATGCCTTCCATGGAGGTGGTAATGCTTGCATGAGGCCATCACGAGCGAGTGGTAGGAGATGGCTCTCGCTCTCTGGATCAATGCCCAATTGCTGTGCATATTCTGAGATTTCTAAAACAAGGGCTCTAGTCAATATTAACAGAAAAATCTTTTGCAAGAGAAATTTATTTTTCAATTTTATAAACACATATATTTTACAGTAACAATGCACTATATTCTATTCAACTTCTTCTGAGGCAAAAGATTCCTAAAACAAGCGCAACTTTCTTATATTAAGTAAACAAATAATGCAAAGTTTCTAAAACTTTACATTTTTATTTAATTTTACATTTCAATTCAATGTATGTAATTTATTTGCTTTATCACTACTCTTCAATTTAGTTGTATTATATCACATTCAAAGTTTGGGAATAGCTACAGTTTGAGTTCTTTTTAGTGTCACTTTTTTTAATTATGATTTTATTATGCATTTCAAATTCAACCTATAGATAAACCTTTTTATAGTTTGTTTACCTCTTTTCTCAGAGGAAATTGAATATAGCTCACTTGGCGAACTTCGTGTTGACTAACAGTCATGTGGTTAATTTTCGGAAAGAAGGTTATAGTGAGTCAAACTTAAAAGATGGATACAAGCTGTCACAGACTTTTTTATAGAACTATTAAAGGCGAAAAATTCCATTGTTCATGATTTTTGTGTAAAGTTAACCATTTACTCAGCGCACGCAATGGAATCTTTTTTCCTTGTTTTTGCTAATTTCTTCATCAATGCTCCATTCCTATTATTTGTAGCGTGATTTTATAAATTTTATAGCCTTCCTAGATAAATGCACTATCCTACACAAAAAGAATATTTCAAATCAAACCAGTAGTTCCTGTGATTAGCGCATTCAACCAAAGAAACAAACTCATCAGATTTTTAATATTAGTATAGATAAATGCATTTTTATATAGTACTGGCCCTGGCCCAAACTTTGCCAACTTAAACTCGAAACCGTAATAGTTTGAATGTTACTAAGGATTTTCTGTCAAAGTGTTTATTTCTGTAATTATTGTATGTATGCTAAATGCATAGTAGTGTTTGAAATGTTATTTTTATTAAATTAATGTATATTTAATGCATCATAAGACGAAAGTATTAGTTTTCTGAACTCCTTTTCCATATAAATTTAATCAGGCAAAAATCTTACATTTTCACATTTACAAACAGTGAATAAAAAATGGTATAAATTATTTCTTTTAGATACTATTAATTTAATAAAGAGACCAACACCTTGCTACAGTATCCTGGAATTAAAAATATTCCCCACAAAGAATCATGTGTTCATGAAGAGGACTGTATTTTATTTAGAATAATAAATAGTATTTTAGAATAATATTGTCCTGTGTAAAACTTGTAAAGCATCCTAAACATGAATAATAAAAGTTAATAAATCATACTTTGAACACATTTAAAAAGTGTTCTATTCATAATGTTTAAATTGCATAAAAAAAGGAATATCAGTATTTCTAGGTTCATTCAGACAACATAATAATTATTAAAATATCTGAAGAAAATCTATACTTTCTAAAAAACTTAAATGTCTAGATTACATCTTTATTATATATTAAAATGTCAGTTGTAGCAGCCCTGATGACTATAACTTATATCACAAATGATGTAATGAATAAAGCAAACAGAATAACATCTAACCAACATTGCATTACTACAAATTCCATATTGCTTCTATTTCCCATTGTAAAAAAATATATCTCCATAAGTAACAGACACTTATATTTTGTTTTGTCCATTTTGGACACAGTATAAGTGAATGTTAACATACAAAATTGAAAGGATATATTATTAGTTTTAAAAAAACTAAAATGTATCAATAATACTTCATTTGGAAAATACAAACAATAAGTTTTAATAGATAAGAAGTTTTTTAATGTTTTTTTCTTGCAATTACAGATCTTAGACAGGAACAGCCTACATGACTTAGTTAAAGGGGTTTATGAAAAAGTATAAAAAAACTATAATTAATATAATACATAAACCTATAGCAATAAATATAAATATTGGTTAATTTGAATGTTGAATGATTATTATGAAAGTTTGTCACAAAAATTACCCAGAAACACATTTTTTGAGTTCACTGGAAATTATCCTATTTGTTATATTCATTGATTGAAAATCTATTCAAATATAATAATTTGCAATAATGATGTAAAGTTTAGACAGATGTTTTACCAATTTTTATATACTTAAACAAACAGTCCTTTTCAAAGCCTCTTACTATTTTTGTGACAAAAAAGAGCTCCTCCAAGGTTTCCTGAGTGTTTTAAAACAGACGGACAAATACTTTGGTAAACTTTCGCGATAGCAACATCAGTTTATTATGAATAAAACATAAAACAAAACCTAAAAACTATAAAAAGCCATACATGAAAACAAGTCAAGGTATGAGGGTAACAACTGATATCACAAACTAAGTAAAGATAAAACTAAGAAAATGAAGAATATGTATATACCTTCTGCAGAAGGCTGGCTGTTTTCATCAAAAACTTCACGACAAACTACCGCTGAGGAACTCATTGTAGGATTTTACATTTTTCGTTTACTGGCGTTTGAATCCAAGCAAGAGATCGAGGCATTTTATTATCACTGTTTTTAATAACATTTTGGTCGTGCCTGTTTAGATATCCTAAATAAAATTGAGAATAAAATCTATTTTCGCATAATTTCGTAAAACTGGCATTTAACTTGAAATATATGATCAGTGTTGCCAGATCCGATTTTTAAAAATCGGGAGGTGTTAGAGAAGTAAGGAGTAGATGGTTGCTTTCCGCACAATGCCGAATTATGCTGATGCTTAATTGGAACGTGAATTAGTTTTCAAATGCACCAGCAGAGTGCGCTAAGTTCAGTGTTGAAAAAAAAAGTCAATGTTTGTACCTTCAACCATACATATATTTATTTTTTTAACAGTTTGAATTAACTTTGATTGTTTAAAAAAACTATTTAATGAAACGAAAGCTTTAATAATTTTTCAACAATAAATTATATTACTTACGATAACATATAAATAAAACATTTCGATCAATTCCAACTTAAAGAAAAAACACTTGTTAATTTTCTGTCACTGGATTGGTACGATTGCACGCATCACACGAAAGCATTACTTTTGAGAGTGCTCAATTATGCGAAGCGTTGCTGTAGTTGGAACACTCAACGTTAAGCATTATGCCGTATAATCCGCTATAATGCTGTAATTGGAAAGCTACCGATGTATGGAAAGCAAATGGAAAGAGCTAAAAATAAAAGTAGATGCAGAGGTGTACTTTTTCTGATTTGCACCCCCCCCCCCCCCTAGAATTGGTAAATCCAATCAAGATATAATGGCCAGTACCGAATGTGTTTTTGGGGCTTCTACCGCCCCTCAAAGCTTGATTTTTTTGATACAATAACATATTATTTATAATTTTGTTATAATTAAGGTTACCTGCATTCTTAATGGCGAAAAAAGAAACTCAACATGCAATTCACAGAGATCTGTAAAATCGGGAGTTTTGTTACAAAAACTCTGTTTGCTATTATTATGGAGGGTAACAAGAGCTAAATGTAGGCAGGGTATCCGATAAAAGGAAGCAAACGCAGTTAGGAACATTTTTGCAAAGCAATATAATTTGCAAAATATTGATATTCGTGTATAAAAATAATAAGTTTTAAAGATATAAATAAACTGTATCTGATTGATTTTCATAAATGAAACTTTTTGATTTCCCCAATTGACCAATTCAATTCAAAATTCAAACCAATCTTATTGACTACCAGAGGGTACGACCAGAATGCACTCAGATACAGATTCAGAAAACAAGCGCGAGAAATAAACAGTGTAGTTAAAGCAGGGTGGCCATAGTGGCCGTCTGCGTGCTCGCAGGCGCGACGCCGTGGGACCTCGATGCGCTGGTTATGGCAGAAATGCATCGAGGTCGGGTCGAGGCCAGGGAGCGGGGTGAAAGACTTGCCCGAGCAGAGCTGAGGCAAGTCCGTTCCATCGCCCAGAGCGAAGCTCTGCGGCGATGGGATGAGGCACTCGCCCATGTTAGCGCTGGCCACCGGACGATTGAAGCCATTCGTCCGGTGATGGAGGAATGGTTGGGCCTCACGTTCCGCATGGTGCAGATCTTGACCGGGCATGGATGCTTCGGTCACTATCTGCACCGTGTCGCACGTCGGGAGGAGAATCATCAATGTTATCATTGCGGCGCCCCGGACGACACGGCCGAGCACACCTTATTGGAGTGCCTGGCGATACCAGCGCCGTGAGCTCATTGCGGCGCTGGGATGCAGAGCCCTCTCGCTGCGGAGCATGGTGGAGGCCATGCTCCGCAGCGATAGGGCATGGGAGGCGGCCGAGAGGGAGCGGGAGGATGATCCTCTGGCCGCTCCCTCCCTCCAAAGGAGGACGGGTAGGAGAGGACGGCGACGCGCCCTGGCTGCGCCCGTCCCATGACCCTACCCGGGGGGTCCCTCGCTGACCAGCATGGCGTTGGCTGTGCCGGCCACCGACGGACCTCGTGACGGCAGCCCCCTCTAGTAGTTCTGTCCTGCAAAGAGGGGGGCGGCGGAGGGAGCTACACGGGCACGCCCAAGTAGCCCTCCGCAGCGGACGGGGGGCGGTACGGTGGGCCGCGTACTCAGCCCCCACGCGTGGGCCTACCTGCGCACGTCTGCGGGGTCCCTGTGATACCCCGGGAGACCCCTGCCGTGGAGCCCCGGCTAGGCCGGGAGGCTGCTAGGTGCGGAGACGTGGAAGAATCCCTAAACGGGGATCCCGCGGCTTCTCGCTAAGCAGCTTAGAGGGTATTCGCAGGACTTTTTTAGCGGATATTATGCCGTAAAGCGCCCGTAAGGGTTGCGTGGTCCTCGGTGGACAGCCACTGGGGGGCCCGTAAGACTTGCAGGAGCCAGGTGTGAGGTCCGTTCGGCGGTGTGCCTCTTAAAGGCGCCGTCGTCTGTAAATAGCATTTTTTACCTGTGTTATAAAAAAAAAGGGTGGCCATAGTGGCAGCAGGCAACCTGCTTAAACTACACTGTATATTTCTCGCGCTTGTTTTCTGAGGGTGCGGCCAGAGTGCACTCAGATTCAGATTCTGAAAACAAGCGCGAGAAATAAACAGTGTAGTCTAAGCAGGTTGCCTGCTTTTTCTCGCACTTTGTTTTCTGAGTCTGAATCTGAATCTGAATCAGGAGTGCAATCTGGCCGTACCCTTCGACGACACTGTTTATTTCTCGCGTTTGTTTTCAAAATCTGAATCTGAATCTGAGTGCACTCTGGCCGCACCCGTACCCTTCGACTACACTGTTTATTTCTCGCGCTTGATTTCGGAATCTGAATCTGAGTGCACTCTGGCCGCACCCTGAGTCTGAATCTGAATCTGGGTGTGCACTCTGGCCGTACCCATTAGGTAGTGTAAATCCCGCATTATTATTTGACATAGGTGGCGATTCTGGCATGATTCTCTAAACCTAAACTTTAATTTGACATCAGTATATTCCTGATTTCTCTATACTGAATGAGAACGAGACACTGAAGTTTAATTAGTTTTTAAGTTTAGAAAACACTATATACAATTATAATGTAATCTCTGGTTTTGATCGACATGACTCAAGGGTTTTTGGCGGGATCTCATCGAGTGCGGTTGGCGGCTTAATTTAATTATTCATAAATTCGTTCTTAATGGATATTGTGATTTTGTGTTACAACTTGGTTACAACTCACTGCACAACTGAAGAATTAATGGAATCTTTAAAATACACGCTATTCTGATCAAGTGGCCGTGAGAACTTTATTGTAGACTACCTCACAGAAGCTTGACGAGGAAGACGACTCGATAAATTTCGTGCCGAACACTCCAAGAAACATTGTAATGCGTCACTTCCACATTGTAATGTAAAAAAAAGAAAACTGAAGACTAGGCTGTATCGGTATTGCGCCCTTTGCCTTTTCTAAAGAAAAGATAACGTTGAAAAAAATTGAATTAAGTCAAAATAAAACCAGAGAGCGCAAGGACAGGAAAAATTAGGTTCTAGCTTCGGAAACAGATAGGAATATTATTTTTGTAATCGAAATGAGTTCTGTAAAAGATGTGGCTACGTTGTATCAAACTTTGAAGACAGAGTGGAGTAAGAAGCCACGTAAACTTGACAAATGCGGCGAATTGTTGAACAAGATCAAGGTAAGCCTTTGAGATGACACAGCGGATTTGTTTTATTTTAATGTCGTAGTCTCATCTACGTTCGTTTATTAAATTTCAGATAGCTTTAACGCAGTTCAGTTTTTTACCGAGCAATAATGCTGCTGCAAACCAAAAAGAGTTGATCCTTGCTCGAGATGTTTTAGAAATAGGAGCACAATGGGCTGTTGCAGCAAAAGATGTGAAAGCTTTTGAACGCTTCATATCTCAATTAAAGTGTTATTATTTCGACTATAAGTAAGTTAAATATTGTGTACTTCACTGATACACTTTTAGTTTTGAATTTAACTTTTGGTTAAAAGTGACAAAACTGTTCCGAAACCTGTGGTCCTCCAAATAATCTAAAACCGAAACTGTTTTTATTATATCCATGTGAAACATTTGAGTTTATAAGTATGGTGATACAACAGTTTCACAAACTTAAATAAAACAGGTAACTGATCTACAGTAACATTTTTAGCTTTCATTGATCGAAACAAAGGAACCCTAATAGTTTCGTCATATCCGTCTGTCTGTCCCTGGTTTTGCTTCGAGGCTATTTAGCGCAAGAGAGCTGTAATTTTTTGGAGATATGTATATCGATCATGCCGACAATGGTAGAATAAAATTTTGACACATATTTTTTTAGGGAAACTGCCCTATTTCAAAAATATTCCTCACAACGGGGTAGATGATGACATATCTCTATATGTAACCTGAGTATGATTTTATTTTTCATCATCTACCCCATTGTGTAGAATATATTTGAATAGGTCCTTTAAATTACTTAAGTGTTCCTAAGGCAGTTATCATTTGTATTTAAAGTAATAATAATATAAAAATTGATTTTGAGTTTGAGACGCAGTTTGACCTTGATATAGGTATTTTAGTTGAGATACTTACATAGATTAATATTAATTGGTTTTTATAATTTTCAAATATATTGTGGTAACTACAGGCAACTTTGGAACCCTTAACTGCGCATGGCATGACACGCACTTGGCCCGTTTTTTTATTCAACAATCTGAATAGGATTTAATCTAAATATTACTGTGAATGTAATGTTTCACAGAGATCACCTTCCGGAATCAGCTTTCATGTATCAACTTCTTGGCCTAAACCTCTTGTTCCTGTTATCCCAAAATCGAGTGGCAGAGTTCCACACAGAGCTGGAACGTCTGCCAATTGATATCATAAGGGCAGATCCTTATGTAAGGCACCCTATTGCTTTAGAACAATACCTAATGGAAGGCAGTTATAACAAGATATTTTTGGCTAAGGTGAGTAATTATTTTTAAATGATGACATGCAACAATTTCATAACATTATTAGGATACTTTATTAATTCTTACTCTTGTTATTCTTTATTATCAAGATAGACCAAAGCTAAATGTATCAAACTATGCATGTTTTGTGCAAAATCAAAATGTAATATTTTATAAATGATACATCATACAGTCAAGTTAATGATAAAGTACTCTTATTCTTCAAACCTTATTAAAAATTAACAATTTAGGTGAAATGCATTGTTTCAGGGTAATGTGCCAGCAGTGAGTTACACACTATTCATGGATACCCTCTTGGATACAGTCAGAGGAGAGATAGCAGCTTGCATTGAGAAGGCATACCTTTCCATCACTTGTGCAGAGGCAGCCAGGAGACTGAATTTGCCATCTCAACAGGCTGTTTTAGAGTATGGGAAGAAAGTAAGTTTTTTTTTATCAAGTTAACATTAAAAACATAATCAAGTTTTGCAGGAAGGATGCTGAAATCGAACCAGCATGAACAAATAACTAAGCCTAGGACTGACTATCATGCTACTGGAAACTGATCATGTTCAATTTGTATTCTCAAATGAACTATAATAAAAATGATCTATAGTATTTATTTACTTTTCTTAAATGAAGAATCAGTTGATTAAAAAACGATGGTTTTGATTCTTGCATGATTTTTGATGAATTTTACAACAGTATATCCTAGTCATTCTCTATGCAAAATGAAACGGAGGGACTAATGTAAAATTTAGTTTTAAGTTTAGAGAATCATGCCAGAATCAACACCAATGATGACTATCATCACATTTAATTTTAGCACACACAATAAAGTATTAGTGAACTATTAAAAGTAATTCATATGTGCTCATATATTATATTTCAGCGTAATTGGATCCTTGGTGCTGATAATTGCTACCATTTCAATGCAGCTGAGGAGACTTCAGCAGCCAATTACGGAATTCTCCCCTCTTCAGAGTTAGCAGAACAAACCATAGAGTATGCCAGACACCTTGAAATGATTGTGTAACTTATTTCTAGATAATAAATACTACTAATAATTTTCTTAAAAATACAAATTTTAATTTCAGGTTTATGTGTTATTTAATACAATCTTTAAATCCTAATCTGTGCCCCTAGCATGAACCAATATCGAATTCGAATAGTTTGCGAAATGTCAATGTCAAATTTTGTATGGAAACTGTAACAGCAGTGCCATAGCTTAAGTAACCAGAACTAAAAATCAGTACCTACACATTTGACAATGACATACTTTCTACATTTCATTTGTGAATATAATTAATGAGACAACTATTACATATAGGACTGCCATCAGCTAAATTACGGACTAAGGACAAAAACTTCTAAAGCCCCAGACATTTCGGTGAAATAAAGATTTTTCCCTGGACGCCCTCGAAAAAAAATTACAATAAAAAAAACATATACTGTATTTATCGCAAATCAGCTCAAAGTTAAACATGTACCCTGTTAATAAAAATAATTAGGAACTTTTGTTTATGGTATCAATGAATCAAAATTATAAATCCTAAGTAATACTTAGTGTGTTTGATTGTTTGTTACTCATTACACACAAACTACTAAACGGATATAGCTGAAACTTTTTTTAACCAGTGAAGTAATTACAATTATGTATTTACTCTTAAGATTTTACTAGTTAAATGGCTCAACAATGTCATATATTTTTAAAACGCAGTAACAAGAAGAATTTTATAAAAAAACTTGCAAATTCGTGAGCTCTTCATAGATATTACGCGAACCGGTACCCTACACTTTAGCAGTGCCTTAGCATTCTGGTAACAAAAAAATTGGTCACTTCTTTCTGGCATCAATGAAATTATAAAATGATATAAATTATTAAAAGAAATATAAATTGTTTATGTAACATAATTTTATTAGGTAGGTTTATGTGGTATTTCGATTTAGACTAGGGGGATCACGAGCAAATTTTTGGCATTAATCGGATTTCCACTGACATAATAGTGTCCTAGGTCTACGTAGGAAAACAAGAAATATTTACTTAGTATGCTTTCCAATTACAGGGCATAATGCGACTCAGTGCCGCATAATGCCCAATTATGCTGATGCTTAATTGGAACGTGCATTAGTTTTCAAATGCACCAGCAGAGTGCGCTAAGTTCAGTGTTGAAAAAAAAAAGTCAATGTTTGTACCTTCATCCATACTTATATTTATTTTTTAACAGTTTGAATGAACTTTGATTATTTAAGAAAAACTATTTAATGAAACGAAAGCTTTAATAATTTTTCAACAATAAATAATATTACTAACGATAACATATAAATAAAACACTTGTTAATTTTCTGTCTCTAAGTTGGTACCACTGCACGCATCACACGAAAGCATCACTTTTGAGAGTGCTCAATTGTGCGAAGCGTTGCTGTAGTTGGAACACTCAACGTTAAGCATTATGTCGCATATTGCGACATTGCTTTGTAGTAGGTTTTATTTCTTTTTTTACTAATATAAGGTAAGATTTTCAAATGTTACACATCATACGCGACTACTGTAAGGCTCCCTCTTTTTAATTTTAGTTAAGAGTCCGAATACAACGTACCTTACGTTGTCTTTCCATTTAAAAAAAAAACAGAATAGTGTGCGTCTCGTTGAACATTTTGTATCTAAGGACGTGCGTTCAAGTTTCCGAATCGGGATTCCTTATCAGAAAACCGTACCGTACCGTACTACAGTCGGGAGGGGCCGATGAGCACCGCATTGCAAAATTGCGCCAAAGCAAATGTGATTGTGCTGTACAACTATTGCAATGCGGCTCGTCTGAAGTGCGTTATTTTTCATCTAACATGTTCGAAAGCGATATTTGATGTGGTGCGACCCGCCACAATGTGTGCGAGCCTTAAATGAGAAATCTTAAAAATTAAAAAAACTAAAACATTGCTAGCGTTTAAATTTACCAAATCTTCTAAAATAGAAGGAATTTGGTAATATAAGTAGCACACTAAATAGCATGCCTCTGATATATCGTGTAAAGTAATTGTCATGATAATTAGTTATTTTCTGTATGCTTTATAGTCTAGATTCCCAACTTTTCGTGTTTTACTCCAATATCGGAATATTATAGCGTAGTCTGGATACTCCTGAAGTAAACAAGCAATTTCAGAGTTCAAAATGGACGGACTATATTAACAGGACGGTGTACTATAAAAATTATTCGATAAATAAATTCTGATATTTACTTTGTACGATGCAAAGAGGGCCATGCCATTAGGGCATAGTAAGTTAGTTACAACAGAGGCCCTTTGTCTCGTTTTATTACTACATAGTAGAATAAAAAAATTCAAATTGAAAATGTCTTCGTGAATTTTTACAGTCATTACAAAATAATAGCCAGGCTTGTTTGACATTTGTGCGCCTATGAAGTTTATCGTCCATATTCGAAATCAGTACTAAACTTGAAAATGAAAAAATGTTCTTCATTGTCATTAGAGATGTACAGTTTGTCATAAAATTTATCGAGTCGGTTATTTGGGGGCGTAGAATTAAAATTTTACAAAATCATATTAAACTATGGTCACACTATAGAATATGGTTCTGGAAACTTTTATTTGATAATATTGGCGTCTGAATGGTGTTTGAAGGCTTTAGGCTATATAACATTACGCTACAACTAGTAGGAGCGGAGCATTGATGAAAAACGATAGAAAATCGGGTAAAAATATTCCATTTGTGAGCTTTCGTTGCGTGCGCTAGGTAAACGGTCAAACTAAGACAAAAATGTATCACAAAATTATTCCAGTTTAAAAGTTCTATAAAAAAGTCCGCAACAGCATATGCCTATCTTTAAAGTTTGGTTCACTATAACCTTTTTCATCAAATTAACGAGAGTAAAAACTTTTAGTTCTAACATAACTCTAATAGTTAGACATATGGTATCGCGGACTTTTTTGTAGATATTGATGAACTCTATAAAACTTTAGTACATCACTTTGATCTAGTGTCAATGATTTCTGCAGTGTAAGCGACATAAGGTTATTTTTTTCACACTCTGGGTTACGTTATCGAGGTTTTCATACTGAACCCTGTTTTGAAAATACTCTATAGCCTATGTTCATCAGGGATAATGTAGGGTACTAAACGTGAAAGAAGTTTTCAAATCGGTCCAGTAGTTTCGGAGCCTTTTCAATACAAACAAACAAATCTATCCTCTTTATAATATTAGTAAGAAGACAAATTAACCTTTCGTACCATGTATTGCAGGGACACAGTAATGTCAACAAAGCATTTACTGCACGCGTGTTGCGACGACGGGTGAACGATCCAGTCGTCCTCCGTAATCCCCTCACTTCGCACATATACATTTTGTATCTAGGATAAGTTGTATAAGGGTTGTGTAAAATCTCGTGTTCAGTTACAAATAAAACTACAGTGTTCCTAAGTATATTGAATTTATTATTCCATACGGAATGACCAACAATATTATTTTTTCTAATTAGAACTTAAATCTAATGCACTTTACAATATATAATCAAATCAATGAAATACTCATACAAGCTTGAATCAATTTATCGTGAATATTATGTACAAGAGTCATATGGTTACATCACTAGTTACAAATGTCAAAACGGGCCTACTATTTTGTGATGACTGTAGCTATATTATATTTTTATATTAATTAATATTTTATTGTTATTTTACTCAATGGAGGTCATTATGTTATAATATTGCTGAATCAGATAATAAGAACATGAAAAATTATATTCCATTCTCGGGCATATTGTTTGAATATTTATAATTATTCGATTCTCCTCTTCATATTTTATGGGTAAAAGTACACAGCCCTGTATAAACGGTACGTGTTCATGAAAATAAAATAAAGGTTCAAGCATATTAAAAAGTTTATTGAAATACATTAAAATTTTCACAACAGCAATATTACGATATTCCTTCTTTAGTTAACGTTTCCAAATCATCAAGTTTCAATAATTTGATGAAATAATCCAATGCCAACTTTAAGTTCCAATTCTTCAGATCCAAGCACCTGTAATTGAAAAAATATTATGATGAAATTACATATTTGTGAGTTTATTTTGTTTCGCGAATTATGTGAAATTTAAAATTATAAAATACGACGGTTTTTATATATTTATTTAATTGATAAAATAATACACATCCTTATCCTAACTAATTATCAGGATAATGAAAATATTGTCTCAAAATTAGTTAAGAAACCTCTTGCCAAAAATGTGTTTTATTGAAATGTACCTTTCACTGGCTTCTTTGCCTAGATCAGTCAACTGCATAAAAATTTTCATGAGGTTTTCTTTGAGATTATCGTCAGGTTCCGACTCAAGTGCTAAATTAAGTTTCACGGGTTTTACCTGAAATTAAAACAAAGTAATTACACACATTTATTCGGTATTCGTTCGGTTATGACTAAGCCTCTTTTATTATATTTAGTCGAATATCTACATGCAATTTAGCTGTATACCTACTACTAAATTAATAGATTTTGTTGTCGTGAGATAGCAATAAATCTGCTTTCAAATGTACAAATATGAATAACAAGATTTAATTGTTGGTATTGCAACATAGATTATTACTATTTGCACATTATTTTATTTGTAGATATTTTATGATTAAGGAGATTTTATTAATAAGAATCTAGTTTTATTAAAATAATTTCGATGAATTATTTCACATATTGGTAAGGTTTGTTTTATTACTGCGGCAACATTTCATCGATCTGCCGACGCCGCTGTCAAACAATCGTGTGTGATTTGCGGAGAAAACCAATTTGTTTCGTAGATTTTCTTTTTAGTACTGCAATTAAATTTACAACAAAATGAAGAAAACTCAAACTCGATCAAAAACTTTGAACGATCCTGTTATAGTGTCTCGTGTTAAAAACTACTTGGCGGAGAACGTGGACAAGACGTTCGTCGATGTTAGTCAAATGGCGCGTTCTCTCAAAGAGCGTTACCGTGAATATAACAATAGGGGCGACAGTGCGTTTTGCCAAATGGTTGAAAGTGCATACAAAGTCGTGTTACAAAGTTATGGATTAGATGGAGCGTCTACATCGGAAGGGTCGGAAGAGGAATCGGACTTGGAGCTATTAGATGAAAACAATAGTGCATTGAACGATCGTTTACTTGCTATGTACAAAATGCAGGATAAAAAGCGCCCAGCAGCTGCACGTCGCGCAACTGACAAATCGGGAGAACCTATAGATATCATAAGCAGTGATGAAGACGGTTCTGCTCCAAAATTACCAAAAATCAATGATCAAATCACCATAACACCCCACATTCCCTCTCGGAATGCCAACAGCACTGCTTTAGAAAGCACTCCTAAACCACAACCAAATATAAACACTGGTGATAAAAGAAAAAAAGTTGAAGCAAATAAAGGAAGCCTGAGTAAGAAAAAGTATGATGTTGGAGCGACTAAAACTGTCAAGGTCAGTTTTGATGATGTTGGAGGTATATCTGACATAATAACACAAATATGTGATTTAATATTACATATGAGGCATCCCGAAGTGTATAATAAATTGGGCATCAAAGCACCAAGAGGTGCATTGTTGCATGGCCCTCCTGGAACTGGGAAGACATTGTTAGCACATGCGATTGCAGGCAAATTACAACTCCCACTTATTGCTGTAACAGGTACTGAGTTAGTAGGAGGTGTATCTGGTGAATCAGAGGAAAGAATAAGAGAACTGTTTGAAAGAGCAGTATCATTGGCTCCTAGTGTATTGTTTATAGATGAGATTGATGCTGTTTGTGGTAACAGAGTCCATGCTCAAAAGGATATGGAGAAGCGGATGGTGGCTCAGTTGTTAGCTAGCTTAGACAATTTGACTGAGAGCAATGACTCTGTGCTTATACTCGCTGCAACTAATAATCCAGATGCCTTAGATCCTGCATTAAGAAGAGCAGGACGCCTTGAGCAAGAAATTACTTTAGGTATTCCTTCTTTAAAAGCTAGGAAAGAGATCTTAGCAATATTATGTAAGAATTTGGTTTTAAGTGAAGATATTGATATGAATGTATTGGCTCAAATAACTCCTGGATTTGTTGGAGCTGACCTTCTAGCCCTTGTGAACAAAGCTAGCACTTATGCAGTAAAAAGAATTTTTGCAGAAATTAGGGCTAATGAAGCAGAATCAAAGAAAGTAGATGTTGAACAAGAACAACCACCAAAAGAAGATACAGTTTTACCCAATGGAGAAAAAGAGAGCGAGGAACCTGCAAAAGAAGGAGAAGATGCCCCTCAAAACGAACTTCCAGCTCAATCGGAGAAAACTGATACCTCTTCCGAGCCAAATGAAGACAAAAGTTCTACAACTGAAACAAATCATCTTGATAATGAAGTAGTGGAAAAACCAATTGATCCAATTGATGAAGTAATCCATCTTTTAGAAGACACAAAACCATATTCATTAGAAAAATTATCTGGCCTCTCTATATGTCATGAAGATTTTGTGAATGCTTTGAAAACAACTAAACCCTGTTCAGTCCGTGAAGGCATTGTCACTGTACCTGATGTCACATGGGAAGATGTTGGTTCTTTGAGTCAGGTCCGTAAAGATTTGCAAATGGCTGTTTTAGCTCCTGTAAAATATCCAGAACAACTAAAAAAACTTGGTTTAGCTGCTGCCAGTGGAGTTTTGCTCTGTGGTCCACCTGGTTGTGGTAAAACCTTGCTTGCCAAAGCAGTTGCAAATGAGGCTGGAGTAAATTTTATTTCTGTAAAAGGCCCCGAGTTACTAAATATGTATGTTGGTGAGAGTGAAAGAGCTGTGCGTACATGCTTTAGACGTGCACGAAATTCTGCACCATGTGTTATATTTTTCGACGAATTTGATGCTTTGTGTCCTCGTCGTACTTCACAAGACCATAACGGTGCAGCCAGAGTTGTAAATCAACTGTTGACTGAGATGGATGGTATAGAAAGTAGAGAAGGTGTATTTGTATTGGCTGCTTCAAACAGACCTGATATAATTGACCCTGCTGTACTACGACCAGGTCGTTTAGATCGTGTAATGTATGTTGGTATGCCAGCCAGAGATGACAGGTTAGATATCCTGCAAAAGTTAACCAAAGGAGGCACCCAACCCAGACTAGGCCCAGATGTAGACTTGCGAGTTATTGCTGAAATTACTGAAGGTTACACTGGTGCAGACTTAGCTGGACTTGTGAAAGCTGCAGCTACTAGTTCTTTGACTAACCACATTTCCAACGGAACCATAGATTCTGAAGAAGACATACTTGTTGTTTTTGAAGACTTTAGAACAGCATTAACCAAATGTAAACCATCAGTATCTTCTAAAGAGCAGCTACATTATGAAAAGTTGCGAATAAAATATGCTTCAGGGCCTGATGACATGGAAATGGAGACTGAACCAACCAATGAAGAATCCATGGATACTGTTTGAGAATCATTCAACAATTGGGTTTTACAAACATGAATTTTCATTATCACTGTTCAACATAACATCTTGTAATTTAAACCGATAGTGCCAAGTTTATCTTAATTTCATGTTGGAACATTTAGTGTGTACAATGATTATAATGAAAATAGTAAAAGTTACTGTAATTGGTTGATTGATTCTAAAGGCAATAACTTGGTTTCCAAATACATATTATGTAAATTACATGTGTTGTATGTTGTATTTATTAATAATAATGATGAAATACACTACATATGCAGTGTCCTGAAGCAATTTTACCATTACTACACTTTAAACTCTATAATAAATAAATATTTTTCTTTATGAAGTTGGGTCTTATTTCATTAATATTTTTCTCTGAAACATGTTTAGAGATAACTTATTATTACTTTTTGGGGTTCACAAGTCGTTCGTCCGTTCGAATTTGTATCTAGCTATCAGTACTAGCAAACTGATTTAGTATGGTGATTAGTGACAAACATTCATCACTACATTACTAAGCCTAAGTCACTCACAGATTGAAATAGTTACTAAGTTCAGATGGTTGCGCGTCGACTCCAAAATAATGAGCGGGATTTGAAGTAATTGCGGTATCTACCCTATTATAGTCATTGCCATTTGGGTATTTTTTTAGTAATGGTAAATTCATACTCGCGTAGTGTCGAAGCGTCAATCAGAAAGGTAACATATCTAATTAACCCTTATTTTCGCAACGTAATGCACATTCATTATGTCATAAAAAGAAGCAGGGCCTGATTTACCCACAGGCTAATGAGGCTTGAGAAGTAGGGCACAAGGACCAAGGGGGCGGCCGGCGGGCGCGGCGCTAAGCTGAGACTTATTATACATCAAGGGCGTCGCCAAGGGAGATCAGACGGGCATTCTAAAAAAATGCAGCCAAATATAAAGCAACCACAGTCCTTAGTCCAGTCACGAAAGTTTTAACATGATATATCCAAAACCAGAAAAAGAAAGTCCGACAAACTTTGCGTATCTTTCATTGTTTTAAAGTTTTTTTTTGAAGTAAGGTAATTGTTTGAAAACTTGAATAAAAGCTCTCTTCAGTTCACCCAATTTTTTTTCAAAGCTGAACTCCTTTAGCTCGCCAAACCAAACTGATAAGGCATTTCAAAAGTACATGAATTAAGTAAATTATAAAGTGGTAACGAACAGTTTCAACAATTGAGGTGGTAATTTGGGGGGTCAATTTCAAATCTTTTTGGCGCCTTCAAAATAGGGACTGATTTTGTCTTTACCATAATTCGCTTAATTTTTATACCAGGAACTTCCATAAAGAAACAAAAACAAAGGTTATTTCAAGCACTTAGTTCTATGATTTTTGGGATATTTCACGTTGAAACTTTCGATTTTGGCGTTTGACAAAGAAATGGTATTTTGTTTCTGTTTTAAAAGCTACAATTTTTTTTTTCATATATAATACTTTTTCATGCCATTTACACATTCGATACAATATGATACAACAATAAGTCGAAAAGTATTGCCTATCAGTAAAACTTTATAAAACAAAAGTTAAAATTAGTCATAGGTATATCCATTTCCCATCTTATCTATACTAATATTATAAAAGGGAAAAACTTGATTGACTTTTTGATCGACTCACATAAAGAAGACAATTCTCTAAAAGGACAGAAAGCGATGGTGCTGCCAATGCCTGTAAGAACTGTCGGCCGCACGATCGCTTCGTCTCTTTCACAATTTCCGTCCAGTTTTACTTTACAGTAAAAAACGCTCAGCCCAACCTATGCCTATGGTGAATACCAAATGGATGGCATTAGGTAGGTCATTTATTAGCGGGTTCGACTCCAGATTCAGACAAGCGATTCTTTTTAATTCTGTGAATGCAGTTCGCATTGCACTTTTACTTCAGCAAAACTTTCTATCTTTAGTATTTAAGGTAACTTTTCCTCCGTGTGGTAAAGTTTTGGGACACTCTGTAGAACGCCATACATTAAGTATTCACAGCCGGCCGGGTGTGCTGAACAAGTGAATTAGTTTAACTGTGATCTTTCGCGAACGGTCTAGCTAGACGATCAACTGTCAACCAGCCTTAAGTTATGACTCGGGCACTTAGAGTATTTACCAATGGAGATGGCATGCATAGGCAGCCGTACCCCTCTACCAAAGTACTTTGCCACTCTGACCATGTGTGTTTTATAAAACAGGTCCACGCGCGATCGCTACCATTTGCATCGTTCCACGGCACGAGTCAGGGATCCCACTAAAATGGAAAATTATGCTGTTTTCTCATGCAAAAACCGATCTGTCGCTTCAAACCTGCGGGAACATGGCCTTTCCTATCATATACAAGTGTTTTTAATAACTGAGGCTCAAGCACGAATTTTGACAGCTCCGTAATCGTAGCGCTCCCTATTCCTCTCCTCCTCCTCTGATAAGTAAGTATTTAGGTATGAAATTCAATTAAAATAAGAAGCTATGAATGACAAAAATATTTGGTAGCAATGATGTCTAAAAATGGCATTATGGAGTATTGCTAGGGGGCGCTACCTACTACCCTATCTATAATATCTATACTACCCTATCTATCTGAAGGTCCTTTTTTTTTTGTGACGAGGGGAAATGCAGTTACGCACCATACCGTGACGCTGACTAGGCGCACGGCGTGTGTGGGACTCGCCGGCACGGGAAACAGTGCCGACCCTACTCAAGCAGGACCAGTGCGGAAGGCCACACTGATCCTACTCCACTAAAACCCCCCGGTACCCTCCTACGCCCATATGGGGGCGTCTCAGGATCGACGCACCTTAGCGTGCGCCACTTCACTGGGACGCCCCCGGATCTATCTGAAGGTCCTGGGTCAGATAAGCTTTCATGATTTACTCTTCAATAGCATTTCTGCTATAATCCGAAGCATCTAGAAGTGGGAAATATCCCTCTAATCTCAAGCTATAAGTTATGATTAGAGAAGTTCTATCATTAATTATTAATATAATTAATGTCCCTATTTCTTCCATTCCAGTTCTGCTACTATCCGAAGCATCTAGTGGGGAAAACACTTCGTTATATTTAGCAAAATTACCGTCGTAGTTATCTGGAAGGCGTTGTTGGCGTATTCAGTGGTCCGTAGATCCCAGTACAGCATGTCGAAATCTGAAGCTATAAGTTATGTTTAGAGCTCTTTTCACGATATAGTTACCTAGTCTTTTCATCTAAGTTCTGCTTTCATCCGCAATATCAAGAAGTGGGAAAAACACTTTGATAAAACTTATCGTCGTAGCTATCTGGAAGGCGTTGTTGGCGTATTCAGCGGTCGGTATTCTGCGTTCACCAAGCTTTCCGATGTCAAATTGCTGGTGTATTCCGACGTTGGTACATCCTATAACGATTACCTATATACTAACGAAATCTGAAGCTATAAGTAATGGTCAGAGCAGGGCAGTTCTGCTACTATCCGAAGCATCTAAAAGTGGGAAAAACACTTCGATATAATTGTAAAACTTACCGTTGTAGTTATCTGGAAGGCGTTGTTGGCGTATTCGTTGGTAGGTATATCCCAGTATACCATGTCGTTGGTGATCTTGAACTCGCAGCCGTCGTACGAGTGCAGTACGAATGTTCTCGTGAACGCTAGGAGGTGTTCTTCGTCCGCTAAGCTTTCAGAAGTAAGTTTGACGATTCCCGCCACTTTGAAGATGGTCATGAAGTCCTGTTAGAATTATTTCGAAGGTATTTACTGTTCAAGTTGTCACGTTGACTTTTTTCAGGTTAAAAATGTAGCAGTTTTAATTGCATAGATCCTACTAATCCTACCTTATTTTGTAAATGTGAAAGTTTCTGTATTTAAATGTTTGCTACTCAATCACGCAAAAACGGGTAAACGGACTTGGATGAATTTTGGCACACATATAGTTTATTACCTGAATTGAGACAAAGGATACTTTTTATCCCGAAAAAATGGTAGTTAATGCGGACGAAGTCACGGGCGGCTGGCGGGCTGGTACGTTAGATAAATATATTTACTTAATTAGAAAGGAAAACATTGAATGCTGTCCTACTAATTTACAAATGTAGATAGACATAATTTCAGCTTGTGATTGCTACACATTACGGAATATATTTAACTGGCAACGAGGAAGTAAATACAAGTGGTTACACTGAAGAGCGAGCTGAGTGGAGTGGAGTGTTTTTATTGTGAAAAATAAAATCCATTTTACTCTGTTTCAGACAGCTACTAAACGGACACTTTTTCATTTATTGATTGCTGCATTGCCCTGATTGCTGAGAAAAAAGTTAAGCGCTTTTAAAACCAAAATGCATCTAGTACTAGTCGTTGCCTAAGCTAAAAGTACTAAAACCACTTGAATTCGTAATTAAAATATGTATCACTAAATTAGTAGTATTATTGTTCATTACTGTTGTTTATTCAATGTGTATTCCTAGAAAGTTGCGTGATATTATAAACAGCCAGCTATACCATAATCGAGCTACTACAAAAAGTAGAAATTTCTCAATCGATTACGAATTTTATAACAACTATTATAAAGCGCAAAGTTAGTTAAAGAAACTCATTTAGTATAACAGTATTCTATTACGTTCATCAAATACTCACATCGTGTTTGATCACATCCACGGAAAAAGTAGTAGGATCGTGTTTTAAAGGCGGCCATTTGTCAATAAGGTCCGCAATCACCGCAGCGCCGTCTACTGACTCTGTATCGCCTTCATCTATAACGCGGCTGCGTTGGAACAAACTGCGGAATGATCTGTATATTGGGCCGTAACCTGCAAACAAGGCCGTTTTAGACAGGAAAATAAGAAAATAATATAATAACGCCTTCATCTATCACGCGGCTGCGTTGGAACAAACTGCGGAATGATCACTATATCGGGCCGTAACCTGCAAACAAAGCCTTTTTAGACAGAAAGATAACAAAATAATAAAATGACGCCTTCATCTATAACGCGGCTGCGTTGGAACAAACTGCGGAATGATCTGTATATTGGGCTGTAATCTGCAACCAAGTCCGTTTAAGAAAGAAAGATAACAAAATAATAAAATAACGCCTTCATATATATCGCGGCTGCGTTGGAACAAACTGCCGAATGAACTGTATATTGGGCCGTAACCTGCAAACAAGGCCGTTTTAGACAGAAAGATAAGAAAATAATATAATAACGCCTTCATATATCACGCGGCTGCTTGGAACCAATTGCAGCTGTTTTAGACACAAGAGGTATATAATATATTAACGGCTTTCAATGAAGCCGTGCTATTATCTAATATTTTGCCCTAATATAAATGAAAGGAAAAAATCAAATAAACGGAAAAAGTGTATAATTTAAAATATTATTTAGTTCATATTATGTACTTACGAATTTTGAACCTATAAGTTATGGTCATGGAAGCTCTATCATGGTACAGTTCTTCAACCCCAGCTCTGCTTTCTATATCTGTAGAATCTAGAAGTGGGAAATATGTTTCTAGGAATTTCTCAATTATAGGCTTCGCCGCTTCCGGGCAATAGTTCTTCTTGAACGGAGGCATATCTCCTTTAAATTTGATAGGAATACCATCCTAAAAATTGAAATCATAATTACTGAATGGTTATGGAAAAATCATTTTATGACATTGTGCCCACTTGCACGGAAGTTATTAAATCAAATTTAATTTTAAAGTCTATCATCTAGTTTAAACATGATTATGTTTAGGCCTCATTCTATCTCTATTTATTTTTAAACAATAGGGCTGATGACTATTTTTTTTCCTCGTCTATTAGATAGATTATGAAAAGTATCGGACACGTATTTTTTCTTTGTTCTCATACTCAAAACATTACAAAGATAAGTATATTGATTTGAAATGTCGCATGAAGTGACGTCTTGGTAAAATTTTTACTTATAAGTGACGTCATGAGCCCCTTTCCCCCAAACTTTGACGAGCTTTAACTTTTGTAATTTTTAGGGTTCCGTACCTCAAAAGGAAAAAACGGAACCCTTATAGGATCAATTTGTTGTCCGTCCGTCCGTCTGTCAAGACCGTTTTTCTCTGGAACTCATGGATGTATCAAACTGAAATTCATAACTAATACTCAGGTCTACTGTCCCTTGGAGCTATGAAAAAAACAAACTTTTAAGCCAAAGCAATCAAAAGGTACAGCAGTTTATGCCGCAAATTTTCGAAACTCGCACGGGAATCAAACCTACAGGGTACATCCCGTGAACTTAGAATCTTGAAATTTGGTACGAAGTAACGTCTTTTAGTGCAGATAAAGGAAAACTTGCGAAAACCGTAAAATTTTAGTTACCTACATCATATAATAAAAAAATATTTTTGGAAATTTTAAAGTTACTACCCTATGACTCGATTGTCGTGATGGGTGAACTTTTACTTATATACCTACAGGTTTGTACGGAACCCTCGGTGCGCGAGTCCGACTCGCATTTGGCGGTTTTTTTTTGGTTAGTTGACAAAAGAAAAAATAAGTGTATATTATTTTTTGGTAATCTAACTGCTGGACTAAGTGCTTGCGCTGCGTTAAGGCGCAATCACACTTGATCGTTAGTATATATATCGTATACGATTGCCTATCGATTTCGGACAAACGACTAACGTATTCGGGTAGATTTCCTTTTGCTTACCCGACACCGTCTTCCAGCCCGTATTTCAGTGTAAATATTGCTTCGGGTGCCCGAATTCGAGTAACGTCTTTCGTGCGTCTACGATACGAGTACCTACAATACGAGCTAACGACTAAATGTAATTGCGCCATATGTCAACGAAATTCTATTTAGTCTGTTCGCGAGAACACCTTCGATAGCCCACGAGAACAAGTTGGTTTGGTCGCTGATCCTATCGCTTCTATTGATAAAATTCAGGCACAGGATTCCCCACTATGAAGTAAACCACTCACCTTGACATCGCCAGTATGAGCTCGTGCTGGAAGCGTTACGTGTCCACGTGGTCACCCACTCAGAGTCCTTATTGTGCACCAATTTCAACACAGCTGTTCCACCAATACAAATATTTGATATACGAGACTGTGCGGGACAGAAAGTGATTTGGACTTACGATTTTTTATTTTCTCCGATTTTCCGGATGTTGTATCTTGTATCTTGAGGTAGTACTAACTGTCCTTCACGTAATCTGTTGATTTGATGATGTTCTTTGTGCTCGTTGAACAACCGCCGCGCTCACTATATATAATTTGTATCGGGGCTTTTCGTAAGTCGACCGATCGCTATGGCGTCATAGTTGTAACAGGCAGCTGACAGATACTGCATGTCTACCCTCGTATTACAATAAAAAATCGTCCAAGGGATAGGAAAAGGTGGGTAAGCGGATGTAATGTTACGTTATCATATTTAACGCATTCAATATATTTGAAACCGAATAGAGACAACTTTAGCAGTTCACTTATAACTATTAATGATAATCCACCAAAAACCGGTATTCCGAAATATAGTCAAGCAACTCTTATGTGCGCTCCCGCCGCCGAGATAGGTAATGCGCCGGTGACAGCAGCGCCCGTTACCGTTGAGTCGTGGATTTGCAGTTTACCCACATAATAAGAAATACCATGCCTGAACAAGTCTGTCAGTTATATTATTAAAAATTAATGGATACTTATTTTTTATTTCACAATGATCAAAAAAATTCCAAAGATAAAGTGCGTCAAACTTTGGGCGTGGGGTCTCGTGACGTCATTTCTAAGTAAAAACTGTACCAAGACATGACATCATGCGACACTGCAAATCAATTTATTTCTGTTTGTTTTGATTATGTGAAATAAGGAAAAAATTATGTCCAATACTACCTACCTGATAGACGAAGAAAAAAAATAGTAATCATCCTTTCTTTCAAAAAAGATTTAATACTGATTAAACTTACAATCTCTTGCAGCGAAGAAAACATGGTCTTCAGAACTTTCACGTACTGATCCGGGTCGATGTAATTGATGCATAAAGGGTTACCGTCCAATTTGATCGAACGCAGTCCTAAGTCGCGTATCTGAAGGAGTTTCATGACGTTATCGAGATAATTGTGCGACAAATCCAAGTGCTTCAACTTTGGCGTCGTTACGGCGAGATTGAAGCCGTCTATGGAGCTGTGTTATAAAAGACAACAATTATAGTTTTTTTATGTGATGGCCCGCCTGATGGTAAGCGGCCTCCTTAGCCTAAACACGCTTGCGTTACAAAAAAAAACTCGCAGGGCTCCGCGGGGTAGGGGACTGGGTCAGGGTATGAAGATCCTTACTCACCGACAGAAACACAACACCACTAGGGATGAAACGATACAAGTAAATACACGTAACTACTCGCTACTTTTCTTTCTATACCAAGTACTTTTTGCATCGATACTTTAGAACTGATTAACAAGTGGCATCGTGAAGTAAGTACTTGCATCGGTACTCGGTCGGTCACTCACTGAGAAGTATCAAAAAAACTCATAGGCAGATTATTTACTCTATTTGTTTCGCGAATGCATCTTTTCTACTGCTGAGTTGGCAGTATGATTTATATTTATTCAAATTTATTCAGTCAGTCGTTAGTTCATCGCGTGGCGTGAGCCGTTATTTTGTCTTTGTCTTTTGCCGTTGTCATAATTTATCGATACAAGTAAGTATCGATACTTTTCATTCGACACCTAGTAGGCATGATCGATTCAGTATCGTGTAAATATATCGATACCTAGATGGTATCGTTTCATCCTTAAACACCACCAAAAGGTAGTGTTATTTTACTGTAGTCTTCTGTAAGGTGGAGGTTTCTTCCCCAGACGGGTGCCACCGCTTTTAAACTTATCTTTGAAATGAATTATACTTTATCCCAATTAACTTAATCAAACCACTTTTGAATCGACCAATGTATTTTCATACCACTAATTCTGGACATATTTTAGCTCATAAGAAAAACGAGCGCAAGGAACTCATCAGAATTGAACAAAATTATCAACATTTACAGAAAAATAATGACGCTAGAACGTAACGAAAACGAACGTAAGACGCCACCTATACAATTATTTAAGATATATGAACTCAAATACAATATCGTTCACTCGCATTTTGATTGCTATGTCATTTGATATAATTAAATATGTTATTTGTATCAAAGGGTTTATGGACAACTTAGGGGTCTCGGGGGTACACAGTACCCTCACCTCAACGTATGATTCTGTTCTGTAAAGTTAGTGTAATAAAACTATACCAATAAATAAAAGTGAAATTTAAAATTATGCTTGTTTTCTTTTTAAAAATACTCTGATAGGCGTAATCCTGAATGTAGATCGCGAATGCAAAAGCTTAACAAACAACAACTACTAATAACAATATTCATAAATTTGAATAATTTGATAAAAATATTTTTGAATAGTAGGTAAGGTCTCCGGCGCGTGTTTGCCCTTCACAATTAACAAAAACATATCAACAAAATCATCTACACAAAACTTTATTGCACTACACAATATATTGGTTTGCATCAACAAAGTTTTTGCTTTCCGAGCCCCATGGAAACCACGTACACAAATTACTCCCCACGTGAATAGAGAGAAGGAGAGCGGTCGTTACGTACTAAAGCATTAGCCCGCTTGACCCTGAAAATTTGTAGAATTTATAGTTCATTTTTCAGCCACCAGCCGCGCTGCCGTCGGTAAGTAGTATCTGTGAAGTTAGCTGTTTATGAATACAAGTAGATGAAGTTAGTTGAATATTGTACAAATTTTCTTCGCGGCATTGGTCATTTCAAATTAGCCCACTTTTATTGAGACAGCTTAGCGATCGCAGCGCCTTACTTATTCTGTCCATATTTCTGGGACACTATTTTCTACAGCAATCGTTCTCCTTATCTCTAACCTCCATGGTCAAGGGGCAGGATATTATTTCATCGGCCATTTTTGTAATCACTCGCTAGCGGGGGCTGCGTTCCAAACCAACGTTCCGAGTGCAACTTTTTACTGTGACGTCTGAATTTTGACATAAAATGTATGACACTTTTGACAAATTGGACCTTTGTTGCACCTGGTTATATTTTTTCTGTATTGCCTCATCCACAGCTACGTCTATAGCCACGAAGCTTCGTCTATGATCGCGATAAACGCAGATGTGGAAAATCATTAGCGGAATAGCACGGCGAACTTTCGAGCAAGAAGCGTACAATAATGTTTCTCGCGCCGAAAATTTGAATGCCATTTTAATTATATTTTATTAAGTTTGCATTCCGAGTCCATGCACTGTAAACTGCTTACACAGTTGACCAACTAATTGTTATACGAACAATAGTTTACATTATGTGAAAGTGCAATAAAGGCATTCACTTCATATAGACGTATTTTAAGACGATCGTCCCGTGACTTCATTGACATACTGAGTCGTTAGAGTCTATAATGGCCTCTTACACGCTTATTTTATCGCAATAAGTATCCAAAGCCTTTCACGTAGGTGTGGAAGAGGCACTAAAATAGTTGTTAATATTCATGTTAAATACAAATGCCAGCAATTGGTCCTTTATTTTTTAATCTGTCAGAAAGCCATTTTTTAAAAAGGAAAAACGTCTACATCATATAAAGAAATAAAAATAAATATTTCCAACACTCACACCAATTAGCCTAGCCCCAAAGTAAGCACTGTAAGGCTTGTGTTATGGGATGCTAGGGTAACGAATAGAATACATATACTGTACATATATAAGTATATTTATATAGAAATACATATTAAACATCCATGACTGGAGTATAAATGCTCGTATTCATCACACAAACATCTGCCCCCATCGGGATTCGAAGCCAAACTACCCGGCCACGGAGGTCGTCGAAGATATTATATGGTTCAATATAAATCTGCAAATTGTTATAAACTTACGTCAATCTGTTGTGCGAAAGGTTGAGTTCCGTTATCTTCTCCCAATTAATGCTAGTTTGCAGTTCCATAAGTTCAATTTGATTGATCTGTTGATTCAGCGGATAGTATAGGAAATGACTTATATCTGAAACAATCCATATCTTGTTATCGACTGCTTTTGTGGTAGTGCCAGATAGATCAAAACAATTCATTAATATGTGAAATTGTTGATAATAATGTATGTATGTGGACAAAAATTTCATGATAATATATATAAAACAATTACGACCATATAGCTATTTTAATATGATAAAAAAGTAAAATTTGTTAGTAGGAAGTAATTAATCTCTGAAACTACTGAAAAAAAATCTTTCAATATTAGAAAACGTCATTATTTCTGAGTAATAAAGGCTACATTTTAACAGGTAAGAAAACTGAACAGAAATTTTCAACAATACGTGTTATTAAAAGATACTGGTGGCACCCTCTAGTAATAATATAAAATATGAAATAAATGATTATACCATACCTTCCTTAGTAGTAAAGTTGCTTAAATCCAAACAGTTCGTTCCATCGTACGCCAAGACCAATCTCTTCCTTAATATCAATCTCGGTATGAACTCTATATGATTTAAAGAGGTAGCTGTTACCGATATTGTGACGACCATTTCAACGTCATCTTTACGAATATAGAAGCCATTCTTATGTATAACCATTATCCCTGGCCGGCACTTTATCACGAGGAACTTGCATTCTTCCGCTGTGAACTAGAAAAGTATATAAATAAATTAATTAATAGCGGAGCCAAAAGACGTTGTTCGGGTTACGAGTGGGTCCCCCCCAGTATAATTTGATGAGCTGGCGAACAAAACGGTATAATTACATAAAATTATTTTTTACAGGAGCTGTATAAAACTGAATGACATACCTCCAGTGAGCATTTGGCATGGTTTTTAATTTATATGTTTAGTAATTTTAACACTGTTTTAGACGGTTTTAATTGAATTATATGAGATTCAAATTCAACGGGGCTGCAACTTCCGGACTGTAAAAAAAATTGTTTGACCAGATGCGTAATTATACCGTTTTGTTCGTCAGCTCCTCATTTAACTAGCTGACTCGGCGAACTTAGTACCGCCCAAAAGTAATAATTTGCAATAAATTGGCAATATGCCACTATAAATTGAGATGTAAGCTATCCTATCTTTCTAGGTGGATCAAACTGCATACGGTGTGCAAATTTGATTAATATCGGTTAAGTACTTTAGGAGTCTATCCCGGACAAACAACGTGACGCGTAATTTATATATGTATATTAAGATTATATTTTCGGTCTGATTAAAATAAAATCCTAAAATGTGACTGCAAAATATCCTATCAGGTTAAGGTGGGAGTTACGTGAGGTTTCTGAAAGTTTAATAATTGTCGCGCAACTTTTATAATTTTTGAAGTTAATTTCTTTACGCACGCTTGACTTGGCGGGTAAGCTGGCGAATGCGTTACGCGTTACGAAAAGTGTGTTCGGGCGAAGCGGACGGGAGTTGAGTGGGGGATAAAAGTAGTGAAAGCAGTGCGCACGCCCATTTTCTTTCTCTCTTTCTATATGTACATACATGTAAATATTGTACACACATATATATACATACAGATGGAGCTAAAGAAGTTTCACTTCAGTCGTGTGGTCAGTCGTTTTGTCAGTCAGGGGACCAAAGGAAATTGGGATTGATTTATGTATAGTGAGATATGTAACACTTACACCAATAGGGATGATGGCTAACTTTTTTTTCTTCGTCTATCAAGTAGATTATCGAAAAGTATTGGACACGTATTTTTTCACATAATGAAAACCATTACAGAGATATACTGATTTGAAATGTCGTATGGCGTCACGTCTTGGTTACACTTTTACTAGTGACGTCACGAGCTCCCACTTCCAAACTTGAAGGCGCTTTATCTTTGTAATGTTTTGGTTGATTGACAAAAGATAAAATAAGTGTCCATTATTTTTTGATAATCTAACTGACGGATTAAATTGAATTTCATTTCCTTTACCCCGTCATCATCCCTATTAGCCTAGGCCCAAAGAAAGATACAATATTAACGAATACACAATAATGATACATGTATGAGTATATTTTTGTAGAAATACCTTTAAATAAACAGATAGAAAGATAAGACTTTATTCGCGCCAACATGCACACACACAAAATTGACAAGACAAATTTAACAATTACATAAATAATTTAAATCAGGCAAAAAAAAATATTTATACAACTATACTATGATATTTTGGTGTGCAGCAGTTATGCGAATGGGAGAACACTCAGCGAAACATTTACTCCGAGAGTAAATAGCTGATTTTTAGTTCTGACCCATATAGATGAGGTCACGAATTTAAATGTCAGATTAAAATTCACAATTACATTAAACGAACAGCCAACACTTTGGTACAAATGTTCGCATTCATCACTTAAACATTTGTTCCACCGGGATTCGAACCCAAGATCTCTGACAATTACAATGTGCTTTGCGATCTCTGAGAACCCAAGACCTTATAAACCCATAAGAACTTACCTCAATAAAGCAGGGAATAAAACCTTTTGTCTTCACCGTATCCAACATGACGTCCAATACTTTTTCTTTCGTCCAAGAAGGGGGATAACCTTTGACCTTGAAATAATTAAAAAAGATGTCAAAATTATTAAAAGAAACTACAATCATGGGATTCATCATTTGGAATTTGTATCGCATAAAAAGAATTTGTCAATCTAAATCATTTTGAACTTAAGCTTTCCTTTGCTCAGGTAAGATATGGTTTATTATTCCTCATTAAAACGTTCAATTTAAACTATTACAAAAATAATATAAAATTCCATTTATCCTATGTACCAAGCAGGAGAAGATGGTAAAAATAACGGATCTTGAGATAAAAATAAATGTGTTCCACGAAGTGTTTAGAAAAACTTTGGTAGGAAAGTTAGAACATCAGGTAGTATAGATAAACTCCCATGAAAACTCTTAATTAAAAACATTGTTGTAGACACTTACAGAAATCAGAAAGAATAGGTTCTCCCTCACATAAAACTCATCCATTTGCTCCATTTCCAATATCATGGCCATCTGAAAACGAAAAAAGAAAATAGTTACGGACTTTGAATTAAATCACATTAAAAATACTTAAATAAATATATAAAAAAAAGTTTCAAATTTTAGTAACACAGTTTTACGAGTACTCAGAGGCCGTTTAAACTCTTATATTCTTGTTTTACATTGTTCTGTAGTTTTTGTTCTCACATCATACACTCTTAATGCGGACGAGTCTTTTTCAATAAATCAAATGCACTTTTCGGAGTGGAAATGGTACCTAATTATCTTCTATTAGTGGAACTGAACAATCCGAACTTTTTACTGGATTATTACTTATTGGCACAACGGTAGTTTGTAAAAATTTCAATACGATTTTCAAAAACATAATTTCCTAGTATAACAATGGTAACGAATACGAACTACGCCAAAAAGTGCTTCTACGCAAACTGCGATCAAATGGGCGGGGCGAAAAAATGCGAGCAACACGCGGCTCATGTGATTGGTCGGGATTGCCGTTTAATAATGGTGTCGATTCTAGCATGATTCTCTAAACCTAAACTTAAATTTGACAGCAGTATTGAAGTATTAAAGTTTAGTTGTATGGGTTTCGAACCATGTTTTAGCGACCGTTTCAGAGAGTAATGCTTCACTTTCATTCTAATTCGTTGCAATGATACCATATACGTTCATATTTCTAAAATTAGCTTTTGACTTTATTGCATACGCGTTTGGAAACAAAATTTGAATGAGTTCCAAATTAAAAGCACCTGACTGTATATGCATCAGATGGTGTAGTGATTATCCACTAAGAGTATCTATATGTCTAAGAGACAATGCTTGTTTTTGGGGTCAATAAAAAGAACGGTAACGGGCATGTGAGTTAAAGTGTACAAATAGCACTTACAAAGTCAAAACTCAAGAATACTAATATTGGCATTTGTTTAGCCAAAGATGTTTTCCAGTAACAATAGTGACAGTACAACCTTTGCTGAATATCTTGTTGCTGAACTTTTGTTTGTTCAGCATTAACTATCTGCTTGCACTGTAAAATATATATAGTCGCCGCTCTATGTGTGAATCATTACGGTAATTTAGTAATTAACAGGATTGCTATCAAGTAACTTGCCGCAACACTTTTCGTGGTTGGCACAGATCTTTTCCAAGGTTAGAGGTCTCGGAACTTCACGACCGTCTTGTCATTATGCTAAGACAAATTACCTTTGAAGCTCTTGCCGTAACACTTTTCGTGATTAGCACAGATCTTTTCCAAGCCTAGAGGTCTCGGAACTTAACGACCGTCACGTCATAATACCTAGTCGATTTTAGCTTTGAACGTTTCGTCGTAACACTTTTCGTGATTAGCACAGATCTTTTCCAAGCCTAGAGGTCTCGGAACTTAACGACCGTCTCGTCTTAATGCTAAGATACATTGCCTTTGAAGTTCTCGCCGTAACACTTTTCATGATCGGTATAGATTATCTCCAAGGCCAGAGGTTTCGAAACTTCACGACCGTCACGTCATAATATCTAGTCGATTTTACCTTAGAACGTCTCGATGTAACACTTTTAGTGGTTAGCGCAGATCTTTTCCAAAGCTAGATGTCTCGGAACTTCACGACCGTCTTGTCATAATGCTAAGACAAATTACCTTTGAAGTTCTTGCCGTAACACTTTTCGTGACCGGTACAGATCGTCTCCAAGGCCAGAGGTCCCGGAACTTCACGACCGTCTCATCAGTACTGTCGATTATCTCCTTGCGAAGATGCACTGGTACGTATTTTTCTACCTTTGTTTCTTCGGTAGCTCCATCTACGACCTCTCTGGATAATAAATGCACAAATGAAATGGGTATTTTTTGTACAATACGAAACTCTTTACTTTTACACAATAGAAAACATTAAACATGAAGTACAAGACAGACATTACAAAAATGTCTTAAATTAATAATAAGTAAGTCTAATAATAAATTAGACTTCATCCGCGTCAACTTTAGTTTTTGGAAATTCCACAGGAACCTAACATTTTCCGGGATTAAAAATATCCTATGTCTTTAATTTAGGTTATAAAATATATACACACCAAATTTCTTGTTTTAAGGTTTACCTGACAGCTTGTTCTTTATTGAACAGAAGGTTAATGGTCAGTTTTGGTTTCTTGGGCTCTGACACGGGTCCTAAGCGATCGAAAGCGCTCTGCCTCTTCTGGCCAGAGTTGTGTTCCGGAGAATCTGGTTCCATGTCATTATATATATCTGAAATACAATAAAGTTATTAACTTTAAAGGAGTTTTAAAAGACGTAATATATAGTATTTTTCTGGACTTTATCCGCCTTACTCCAAACCGCGGACTAAAATTAAGACGGCGGTTTGGAGTAAGGCGAATTTAAACCTAATGTTGTCTCTGTCTACTTTTTAGCAAACAAAAGGGACATCATCAGTTTTAGTCTAGGTTTATCTTTAGTCTACGTTTTGTAATAAGGTAGTATTTATTTTAAAATTGGTATTATTAAATGAGTTTACAATGAAATATTGACAAATTTCAAGTTTTTGGGCATTTCATCTTTCAGGACATATCCAGGAATCGTGAGCGATTTTGACTTACAGAAACGGTTTTGAAGTGTACCTACCATTTTGTGAATTCGATGCCAAATTATCAGCGTACACATCCGAAGGCGAGTAAACTTGACGGTTTTCCCCTTCATCAAAAGTTTGATCAAACATTGGTTGCTGGACTCCAAGGTTCCCTTCAACATTACCCATATTCCCATATGCTGGCGCAGCTGATACCGTATTTGGATGCCAAACGGGTTCTGTCTCCATCGGTACATTTCCGGTTTGCCAGTTAAGATGTGAAGTATTCGGTTGAACATTTTGTTGATAGGGGTTCGCATTTTTATTTACGAAATCTGAAAAAGATTCTTTTGCAAAAAACACGAAATCTATAATATATCGTATATGATAAAATAATAACTTTTGGGCTCCGAACCCAAAGCTATGGCAATTGACATGCAATGAAATGCTACAACAATAAAAATAAAATAAAGTTAAGAATTAAAGGAGAGCCGTTATTGTGCTTTCTCGATGTGTGATAGTCATAATAAAAATTCATTGCAACATATATGAAGAAGCATGATTTGTTTTCTAATGAATTGATCAAAGAATGGATATAGAATTGAGGACAAAATTTGGAAAATTCATTAACCGCATAAGTATTTTTAAATTGAACTTTCAAAACACGTTTTAAGTATTATATTTATGGGAGGGAATTATTAAATTGCAGTCGTGCGCAGTCGGGCTTTGATCATTTTCAAATATTGTAGGTAGATCAGACAAATGGTTATTAATAAATAAAAACAACACATAAAATGCATAAACTTACGGGAATATGGCTCAGGTGTCTGCGAAGACGGTTTTACTAAGAAACTCCTTGGTATACCTTTAACAAAATTTACAAAGTTATGGTTAAATGTGGTGAAGGGGAAATACATCAAAAAACAAGAAGGAAGATTAAGAGGTAGTGACGTAATCGCCATAAGTGCGGGCGTGATACGAAGATACTCCTTCTACTCCTTGTCGTAGTTATATTCATAATACAAATTCTGTTTTATTTTACGAACTATTTTACACATTTCCTTCCCCTTCCTTCTCTTTAGGGCACAGCACTGGCGCTACATAGCAATATCACCATGCTCGGTATGGTAGTGCGATGTGTGTGTGTGTGTGAAGCTCCGTAATCATATCGCATCGTCAGTTATTAATAAAAACTAAGCAGTAGCTCGATGGCGCGGGTGGTTAGCGCGTTCGGCTGCGATCGTTGAAGCTAAGCAACTTTCGCAGTGGTCGGTCATTTCCCATCCAATGGGATGGGTGGTCAAAAATCTTCTATCTCGAGTTCCTCTGTACTACGGAAGGCACGTTAAGCCGTTGGTCCCGGTTGCATCGGCAGTCGTTAGCACCCCCCAATCCGCACTAGGCCCGCGTGGTGGGTCATGGCCCAATCTCCCTATTCCATCCTTAGGGAAGGCCTGTGCCCCGGCAGTGACGACATTAATTGGCTGATGATGATGATGATGATGGGTGCTCCTACCGGAAGAGCCAAACTGGCTCCTTCTATACAAAATTTGACGATGACGTTACGATTACGGAGCTGTCAAAGATTCGTGCTTGGGCCTTTGAATCCTAAATACTACATCGAAAGTGTGAATAAAAACAGCCTCACGCAAACTCAAGAGTCCTGAAGATGTTCGGCGATTTTTTACGCCTGAGCCTTGTACTCAATAAGCGTAGTTGCTTATTGAGTACAAGGCGCAAGTGCGGTCCTGTGTGAAATATCGCTTGCGCCTGAGAGTTGACATTGCCAAGTACTTACCCGATGCTTTGGATAGATGGTGATGATGAGGTGACCAAACACTATCCCCCTTATTAATAAAAATAATAATAAACTTGGATTATCTATTAATTGATTTACAAATGGCACTTGAGTGACATGAACAAAACACGACGTAACTAGTCTAATCTTATTCCTCGTTTATTAATAAGGGGGCTCGAGCCTGTTCAATCACGCCGGATGTGTCGTCACGCGAATCATTTAAAAGAGGCGTGAAGAAGCACGGAAGAAGGCGGTTAAAGGATGGCAAGGTGAAGATGGCTGGTGCTGTCGGTAAAACTGCTGCACTATGCACTAGCTGTATTCGCGTCTGGACTCCACCGTCTCTTAATATCAGGTGGGGTGACCATTAGTCGAACCTTTTTATATTAAAAAAACTGCTTCCACCGTTAAGAAACTTTAAATTCATTGTACTTGCTGGTGAGATAAATTTAAAAGACAATTAAAACTTTCCTATAGGGGCTGTTTGGTATAGCTAAATTAAACCACGTTTCTCACCAAAATCACTATATTTGTTGTAGTAACTGTTAACAATTATAATGCACACGTTTTTGTACGCTAATATTAAGATATTCTAATTTAATCAATAATAATGTGATCACTTATCGCGGTTCACAGGCACAGTCGGAAGAGAGCTAGAGAGGTGATGCAAGAATGAGACAAAAAATTTAGTATGTCAAATACTAAACAGGGGCTATGTCTGGTTATGAAGTAAAAAAGATAGGGCATAGCGGATTTCCCGCTCGAATTGGAGCGCCTGTCTTGGAAAATTACCTCCACCTTAAAGAAGACCACACTAAAATAACACTACCCCTTGGTGGTGTTGTGTTTCTGTCGGTGAGTAAGGTTCCACAGGGTAGGGGATAGGTTCAGGGTAGGCAACGGTGCGAATGATATTTTTGGTATCGCAAGCGTCTATAAGCTATGGTAGCCGCTTATTATCAAGCGGACCATACCATATGAGGCCATGAGAACCAGTGGCCTAACTATTCGTTGCGTTCGCTAAAAAATGGTTGAGCGAAGCGATGGCTGGTTCATGCGTCATGCTCGTGAACGGGTGCTGCCAGCGGAGATGAGTCTGCTCTTAATTCACTGGGTACTACTATTAATCGTTGTTCTAAACTTTAATCGTTCATTATTATTATTTTCTTTTTGCCTAAGCGGTAGGACACGTCATTCCTAAACTTTGTTAAACCATTTTTTTTTACATATTTCAATTTTTTATTTTATAGTCATAATTTTTATAGTATTTGCATTTTTTTTTGTTTGTAATGAAAAGTGACTTTATGAGTTACCTCATATTGAAGTCATTTTTCAATTTGACGACTCTGTATATAATACAGGGAGAAAAAAACAGCCCTTGCTGAGTTTCTTGCCGGTTCTTCTCAGTACAAGGTCTCCCGCCGTAGATTTGCGAACCGATGGCGTAGCTTTTCGACATTCACAAGTGCTTGTAACAGCCTAGACTGAATAAACGATATTGAATTTTGATTTTTTTTTGAATTTTTTTTTTTACAATATTGAGTTTATGATGTTTTCCAGTTCAAATTGATCATTTTGATAGAACCAGAGTGGTCTAAAAGTGAAACAACGAATATTCACTAGATGGCAGCATAATCACTGTTACGGTTTTTAGTCTGTGATCTAAATTTGAGGTGCCATACTGGCCTAAGTAAGATAGGCCACTATGGTTAAAAAATGAGTTAGGCCACTATGGTTCTCAAGGCCTCATATATTAGACACCCTTTAAATGTTAAAAATAAGTGGCTAAAACACATTGTTGGTTGGTATATGGTACCTAAGTATTGTCTGATGAGACCCTCTTTTCTCGCCTTGAATTAAAAAGTTTGTTTTCTACCGGGATCGAAGCCGACGTATATAGTAAACGGCGCCCCGGCGGTATTCATCAAAGGAATACAATAATTATTGCATGTTAACTTACCTTTTGGATAATTACACATGTAATGTGACGGCAGAAATTGAGCTGAAACAAATCAAGACATAGTCTTAAATAAAATAAAGTTATATGTAATACTAGTGGCCCGCCCTCGCTTCGCTTCGGTGTAGAGCTGAAGTGTAGACTACAGTTTTTGTTCTCAGGCTTGTATTATACACAATGACATTCATCTATGATTCTTCTTATACCTGCATGCAAAGTCTCAGGCCTGATCGGTTTAAAATTTCATACAAACTTTCATTCCCTATTTTATCCTCTTGGGGGTGAAATTGATCAAAATCCTTTCTTAGCGGATGCCTACGTCATAACATCTACCTGCATGCCAAATTTCAGCCCGATCCGTCCAGTGGTTTGGGCTGTGCGTTGATAGATCACTATGGCAGTCAGTCACCTTTGAGTTTTATATATATAGATATTTGTTACGTCACCGTAAACTGACGATATGAGATGTTGTTGGGATTGCACTATACAACATAATTCAGGCGTCAGAATAAGTTTTCCTTGGTGTAGCAGTGGATAGGTACCTTCACCAATCCTTAATAATATATCAGAAAATTCACGATCATCCGGGTTATCTCCAGTTCTCACTCGCATGTTTATAGTCAAATGCACCGATTGTATATCACGCCACAAATAAGAGCTTTTCAGGCAAGCCCTAACCTCATCAGCTCGGGTTCCCCGTGGTATTACCGGTAAGGTTTGTCGGAAATCACCACAAAATAAAACTGTGATACCGCCCATTGGTCGATCATTTTGTCTTATCCGTTACACAAAAATAAATCCTTATAGCATGATTCAGTATTCACGTGCGACGGCGCGATGGCTAATTTCATGTATAAGTTTGGTGTTTCAATACCGATTTCTACGATTCTTTTTTTATTTAATAGGTAATAATGTTAACTTTTTAAATTAGGGATGAGTGAGAGTATTATAAACGTAAGAGTAAACAAATATAATCAGAATGCTCCGAACTGCTAAACTATCAGGAGTTACATGTGTTATTGTAAGTCAACCATAAAAGATAGACATATGCTGTTGCGGGATATTTTTTAGAAAATTTTATGTAGAATATTTCCGTCAAACATAATTTCTATGTAACTTTAACCATTAAGGCTGCACACGCGACGGAAGCTTAAAAAATGGAGTAACTTCTCCCGTTTTCCCAACATTTCCCGTGATGTGTGATGCGTGATGAAAAGTATACTATAACCTGCCCAGGAGTATGAAGAATAATTGTACCAAGTTTTGTTAAAATCCGTCGAGTAGTTTTTGTTTCTATAAGGAACATACACACAGACAGACAGACAGACAGACAAAAATTTTACTGATTGCATTTTTGGCATCAGTATTGATCACTAATCACCCCCTGATAGTTATTTTGAAAATATATTTCATGTACAGAATTGACCTCTCTACAGATTTATTATAAGTATAGATAGATATTTGAAAAGAAGCTTTATCATTCGAATATATCCAGGCTAAAAATTTATATGTGCCCTTTTTGCCTTCAGATGCGTTGAGCCGTTTTTGCGTGACAAACATAACAAACAGATATATAGTATAAATATATTCAACATTGAAAAAATAGTGCATTGCACCTTAAAAAAAAATAGCCACATTGCTTGGGCATTTTAAGCGTTCGCTATTTTGGTCACAGTCCATAGCAACCTAGCAAAAAAAAAAACAAATAAATAGTTCGATTAGGAAGTTAGGTAGCGCGTGCACTACGCACTAGGTCTCGTTGACTTGACATGCCATATGAACATGGCGCTTGTTTGTCGATATAGTCTGTGCGGCAAGAGAATGGGATTTAGATTGGAGGGCGCGGTAGTGCTTTGTACCGTATTTGTAAGGTTTTACCCCTTTTAGACATGATTAAATACAAAAAACCGAAAGAAATCACAACAACAAACAAATCCGTATCAATACAAAACTTTGACGTTTTACAGATTGCTGGGTTTGATTACCAAATAAAAATCTTAATGTTAGTTCCTTTTTTCGTCACGCCCATTCTCTTTCCGCACAGACTTTATGTAGTTTTACCTCACAACCGCTCTGTCGCGTTTCAGTTAATTGAATATCTTACAAGTTATTAGCAATTTCCAATAATTAATTCCTTGCTTAAATTTTTTTATTAACAGATACTGATGTAGGGATAATTCAGAAGTAATAGAATTTATATATAAAAAAAAATGAGCCTTATTTGAATTACATTTTTAATTCCATATTATTATATTAGTAGTACATATATAACTTTATTACCTGGAATATCATTCCTAAGTGATGTTGTAGATTTTTGCTTCACTTGAGGTTGTGGTTTAATATCCTGCGCTTCTGATATTACTTCTTGCGGTTGTGGTTTACCCTCCATTGTTTGTTTAGATAGATAAAACAAATTTTTCTTTTCCTCAACAATACTTATACCCTCGTTAGAGGCACGAGTAATCCTGGACTGAATTGGTTTGGCTCCTGCAAACAATTCAAATAATATCTCGTCAGGTGTAGAGTTGGTGTCGTGACTTCATACGAACACTAACTACACTCCGTTTGAGGTAACTGGAACTACGACGTCTAAAATATTGTAAAAAAAGAGAAGTTCGAATAAATTATGCATTTTGACAAGCTTTACCGCAGAAACTATTGGATCAACAGAGAAAATTCTAGTCTCTCATTGCAGCAAATTTAGTTTATTTAATTTAGTGATAAAATAAAGTGTTAAAATCGCCAAATTTTGAAAATGGCGAAATTTTCGCGGTTTCTTCGATTTTTGACATAGTTCATAGTTGCGTTCGGCGTTCGAGGTTAAATCATAAACTTGGATTATTCAGTAGCGAGGCCAATAACATAAAAATTGGAAATTTCAAAGCCCCCGGCACCCAAAATAATCTAAAAAGTAAAAAATTAAATGTGTTGGCCTTTCAATTTTAGTAATAGTTAGACCTCACGTTAAGTCGGAGGATCGCTAAAGAAGTTGATATTGCTAGTTATAAGGAGACGAAAAAGTTTTTTGTTTGGTGCTCTCTCCGATTCCCGACTTAACGATGTTTGGATCCAAGTATTTCGCTTTTAAGTCTATAACCGTTGTTTGAGTGAGGCGAGTAAATATTAAATTATTTAAATAATACCAACCATGCGTTTCATTGTAAGTTATTGGACCTCTACCTTTGTTGGATTGTAAAGTGGCTTTTTTAACAGCTTTCGATGGGTCGTTGACAGCAAGTTTTATATTTGAGCCCAATCCTTGAGATACAGCTTGTTGTGCTGTCATATTACCTACGACAAAATATTTCTACAGTAGGCAAACAGTACAGAAATACATGTATAATACCTATTTAGTATTTTTTCATGGTAAATTATAATAATTTGATTATCTACAACAGTGAATTGTTGTTAACTCATAAAAGTTAAGTTATAAATATTGTAAATAACATGAAAGATGGGTTTAAACAAGGTGCCCAATCCAGTGTCGTCAGAAAATATTTTTCGATGACTTATAACATCAATAGGTATACGATTCACCCATAATGTATGTACAGCGATTTTCAGTAGTTTAGGAGATATGATTTTTTAATTATATTTTTTCTAATTTTCACACTACATCGATTCTTTTTTTTATCCCCAGCTATCGATATTTTCTGAATGTTGTTTGATGTTAATAATAACTGTAGTGCCATCAATCACAAAAATTAAGAAACCACCTGAGCATTATGAAACATAACTAAAATTTAATTTAAATACCAAAATTATTACCGTTTAAATCAAATATTAATATTATAAACGTGCTGCACTTAATGCTTTACTAAACTTACCGCCCCTTTACTCAAAAGTGTAAATCTCAGAAAACATACTACTATATTCCTGGCAGAGGTATAATGCCAACATAGAATATGCAGAAGCCAGTCGTCAACGAAACTACACAAACCAGGCCATATTATATATTTTCAGATAACCAAGCAGCGCTCAACGCCATTAACTTGAACATGATATGCTTGAAATTGGTGAAAGACTGCGTTGATAAACTTAATAACCTGGATCAAATGAATTTATTGTTAAATGGGTATCAGGTCATTTAGTGATAATCGGCAATGAGAAAGTTGACGAACTAGCAAGAGCAGGGGCAAAGGCACAGGGGCAACAAATGGGACCAGAACCTTTCTGTGGCATCGCTAGAAATTAAACCATGCAAATTCTTAAGGACGACGTGTAGGTGAATCGAAAATATACTGGTAATACCAATCAGGATAAGAGCACGCTAAATCACTCATAATAGAAAAAAGGTTACTCGAAAAAACGAACTGCCGGGTTTATAGAATTTTGCAGGTCGAACACGAGTGCTTTTGTAACAGATTAACTGGACACTGCAGACTCAAGATTACATATGAAATTAAGGCCGCGTTGTTTCATAAATAGTTATATTTGACTGTAGTTAAATCCTATAGAAATAAATAATCAATTGTTAAAATTTTGGACTGAATTAGACGTGGCTTTAACTATAGTCAAATTTAACTATTCTTGAAACAACGGGGCGTAACACTGGTGTTTGCAGATACCGCCATCAGAAGCGTGAAACACCAAAACACCTTCTATGTGAATGTGGACCTGTTATCTACAAACGTAGTATTCACTTAGACGACATTATAATACGCTTAGTGGAAATCAAATCACTAAAAGCCAGAAACGTTTGGAGTTTCTTAGATGTTGTCGGGCTAAAAGAGATACTTTAACTTGGTGGCGAGTCACAATAGATATATTAGGTCGCCATGATTACAGTTCCATTAGGACTGCATAGCCCCAAAAATCTGAAATAATAATATTAAAAGAAAGCTTCAAAGTAAAATAAAAAAAAATAAAAAAAAAACAGATCTAACAAGGGGTTAAGTAAATTAATTTGGCAAAACTGTTTTTGTTGTTTTTTTTTTATTTTGAAATAACTATCAATCTAAGTTTTCTATCTATCCGTTTTAGTAGGGTAAATAAAGTGTTTCACAGATAGATTCGCTATGACACAAGTTCGATTTTCAGCTTTTGCTATACTTTCAAATAAGTACATGGCCATTTATAAGTCGCATCGTGCTTTAGAAAGAGATACTCGGCTAGCTTCGGCTTCGTATAGCGCAGTCTCTGTCACCCTTGTCAACCTGACGTTTAGTCGCTGACTTGTCAGTCGTAGTTCAACGTCGTTAAAGAGCAGTCGCGTTCTTCTTCAAATATATATACAGAGTTACTAAAACCAACAACAAAAAATATTCATGGCATCTAAAATAAAAAGTGGGAAATCTTTGCAGGGACAGTCTAGCGAAATTATTTACAATGTGTATAAATAATACGCGAACGAAATTAAAAAATTAAGGATGATGAACGGCAGTAATTATTTTATGAAGATTCAAGAGCAAGTTGCGAGTGCTACTGGAATTTCAAGAACAGCTGTCAGAAATATATTAAATGAAGCTGAGGAAGCTGATATTGATGCACCATCACTTCATTTAAGTTTAGTACTCCCAAAAAAGCAACACCGTTTGTATTTGGATGATTTTGATTATGATGTTGTTCGAAGAATGGTGTATGATTTTCTCTTAAGATTTAATGAATTGCCGATAATTAAAGCGTTTAAAATCAAATTATCTGAGTCTATTAACTATAATGGATCTGAAAAGACGTTGCGATAAATTCTTCTGGAGATGGGATTTCGTTCCATTAAAATGGAAGATAACAGAAAAGTTTTAATGGAAAAACAATACAATTCAATGTAAGACTCAAACGAATTGAATACCTAGATAAAATATGCAATTTTCGCAATGAAGGAAGAAATTTTATTTATATGGATGAGTCTTATATATACATACATCCCACACAAAAGGCAAAAGTTGGATTAATGATAAAAAAATAGGAGTAAAGAAGCGAATTTCAAAGGGTCAACGGTTGATAATAGTTCATGCAGGCAACGAAAAAGGTTTTGTTCGCGGAGCTTTTTCAACCTATAAATCCACAGATACCACAGATCCATCCACATATTACCACAAAGAGATGAATAATGAAAACTATGAGAAATAGCTGCTTAATCAATTAATACCAAATATACAAAATAACTCAGTTCTGGTTATCGACAACGCACCTTATCATAACAAATATGTAGATAGACCCTCAAATTCCAACACTATAAAACAGGAAATGATAAACTGGTTAAACACACATAACATTCCATTTCATCCAAATTTGACGAAACCACCGATTTATGCTATTATATGTCGCCACATGTTATTTGGTTAGAAATAAAAATTGTAGTTTTTCATTAAATAAATAAATTAACACACAAAGTATGTACATATATCGAGCCCTTACCGCCAAATTATCGTAAGCGACACTCGCTAAATTATCGTAAGCGACACTATTGTCGAAATGCGTTTTTTTTCGGAAACTAATATTTTTAACCGTAACGGACCCATCTCTGTTGATATTTCCCTCTATTCTTCCCTGTATTATATTGTAACGGTGTTCTTTTGGAGGGAAATATCAACAGAGATGGGTCCGTTACGGTTTAAAATATTAGTTTCCACAAAAAACGCAATTCGACAAAAGTGTCGCTTACGATAATTTGGCGGTAAGGGCTCGATATGTTGTCTTTTACCTACATGTTTTCTTTTTGTATTGCTTTCTAAAAAAACATAAAAAAAGAGCAGCTCTTACAAGATACCGGACTGTTAGTGTTTCGTGTGACAGAGATGACGCTCTACAAAGCCGAAGGTAGCAGAAGCTAGCCGAGTATCTCTCTCTAAAGCACGATGCGACTTATAAATGGTCTGGTACTGTACTTACTTTTAATTGAAAAACCACTTTTTAGCTAGATTATAAGGATTTATCAATGATTTTAATGTTATAAAAATCTATTTTTGCTGCAAAAAATTTTTTTGAGACAATTCTTTACCGTCAGTCCAGGTTATTTATGCCAGGCTCGAAGCTTTTGAAAATATTAAAAAAAATAGAATAGGATGACACCCATTGCAAAAGGAATAAATTTAAATAAAAAAGGAGGAAAAAAATAACGACTACGTGACTTTTTTGCATTTTCTGAAAAAAATATTCATAGTAGTATGTAATATATAGTTTTCTGTATACCATCAGAAAGTAGGTAGAGGTTGCAACGAACAAAAAGTGCACCAACTTTTCTGGAAAAGAAACTTTTTTGGCGTGAGATTTTTCCATTGAAAATAAGATTACTTATTCGATATAACTTTGGAATAAAGCGAAAAAATAATTATTTAGAACTTATTTAAAGTTTCTTTAAAAAAAAAAACAAATGGCTGCTGAACTGAACGACAAGTTCACGGACTCGGGGCTATCAATTTTGTTCAATCATTCATTTCTACAGGCCGG